TCGAATCTACCACATCTCTCTCTCATTCTGTACTATTCTCTTACGCTGTCGTCACATCTATCGGGATAGTCCTCTGTACCTCACCCCTTTTTACCTCTGCCCCGCTGCTACGTGGGTTTGTCCTGGTACGACCGCATCTACTTCTTCTTTTTTTTTACCGCACTACCCGAGCTCCCTCCCTCTCTTTGCAAGAGCGCGGAGCACGCCCTCACGACGCGCGGCGAGGCCAAACTCGGGCTCCTACAGGGCGCGGTCGCGGGCTCGCTGGCGGGCCGTCTCCTGCGGCAGGGGCGACAGGCGCAGCAGGGCTGTGGCGAGGTGGGCGAGGGTCGTCAGCGGGTGGGGCTCGTACTCGGAGACGGCGGCGGGGAGGCGGAGGGGCACGTCGGTGTGGTAGACGGCCGCGAGGGAGGTGGCGGGGGCGAGGAGGGAGGAGAGGAAGCCGGGGAGGTCGTGCGGGTGGGCGGTTGCTAGGTCGTTGAGCGAGTCGAGCAGCACGAGGGTGCCTGTTACTCGTCAGCGGGTTAAGGTTCGTGGGGAGGGACGGGAGGACTCACGTTGGGAGGGTTTGCGCTTCGCTTTGTCGGCCTGTTCGTCGGGTTTGGGGTAGTGGGAGAGGATCTCTGTCCTCAGAGCTGTGAGGGCCTTGCCGCGGCCCTTGACCAAGACGTCCATGTCACGGGGTTTCTTGAGGGTTGCGAAGGACAGGAAGATGACCTTGCTCTTGCCCATCTGTCCGTGTTAGAACGAGACGCCGTAATGAGACATCCGGGATGACTGACCTTGGCTCTTGTGATGAGCTCTCGGATGACAGGGGTTGCGCTCTGCTCGAGGTTGTCGAGTACGAGGGTCAGGGGACTCGCGCCATCGCGAAGGTTGAGGAGCTTCTGCAGCAGCAGCAGGCTGTGTGAGCGGCTGTGCGACTGTGCTGACGGCATGACCGTTTGGCTGGGATGTGTGTGATATTTATTTCGAAAAGAGTATTTTTGCAAGATGCTCAAGTCAGAAGTTGATTCTCATGGAGCTACGGTTTGGTGATCTTGTTCGAGTTGACAGTGAGGTACCTAGGTAGGTACCTAGGTAAGGTATGTAGTCATAGTGAGTGAGCCACTCGAATCTTTTTGCGCACCGCCACAGCCGATTCTCCACTTAAGCCGTACATCAACGGACCTTCCACTGCATCTTCATCTTCATCACAACCATCATCGTCTTTCTTTCAATTCATCGGTCATCTTGTGAAACAGTGCTGCATAGTTCTTGGCATCTACTGTCGACCCCTACTCCTACAGCAAATCAGGCGTCCGTCACCTTGACACCCACGCCCGACCCGACGACAACCTTGTTGAACTGCTTGCTCCTCTTGATTGGCTTCGGATCGTGGAAGATCTCCTCAAGCTCCTCCAGAGACCGGCCCATCGTCTCCACGGACACGAACCACATGAGCAGCCAGTGTACCACGTGCAGCGACAGCAGAATCGTGTACATCCGCCAGCCAATGTTCTCGAGACCCGTCGGGATGGCATAGAGGTTGATGAAGCCGAACAGCCCGGCGATCAGGTTGTTGGCCGCCAGCCCCTTGCCCCGAATGTCCGTGCTCAGCACCTCGGCCGGGTACAGCGCCTGCAGCGGCGTCCAGCAAAACGACGACACGATGCCGTAGAGGAACATCATGCCGATGAAGGCGTACCCGGACGCCCGCTCAATGTTGCCGTCGGCGAGGCCCGCGAGCACGTTGATGGGCACGTAGATGAGGCCCGTCAGGAACACGCCTCACAGCAGCAGCGGCCGCCGGCCCACCCTGTCGACGAAGAAGGAGCCGACGATGCCGCCGCAGAACGAAAAGACCGTGTTGAGGCCGTTCATCAGCAGCTGCTGCCGCGGCGACCGACAGCTGTTCTGAGCCGCAAGTTGCTCGCGTAGCTCATGATGGAATTGAGAATGCCTCGGGGATGATCGTGACATACTCCGGTGGGGATTACATAGATTTCAAAATAGTGTGCGCGTTGTCTCAACATTCGATCTCTCCATTGTCGATCTATGGAAATTGCTTGACAAACAACCGGCGTTGCCCGCCATGCTGCTCAACAGCGCTGGACGCCCGCATTGCCCCACGGGGAAGCCCTCATAGCGTCTGTTTGAGGCCAAGGCAAGCGCTGCCAAGGACAGTGGCGCAGCATCACCCCATTGATCTACAGAATCCCGCACGAGGCTGGCCGCGAGTGAAGCTCGTGATGCCGAGAGGGGTTAAGACCGGGTGCTCGCGTGCTGCCCAGATTCGCCTGCGAGACAAGCATTAGCATCTAGCCTGGGGTTGAAACGACCAATCACGTTACTTGTGAGCTCGGCTGGAGCTAGGAGGTATTGACTTGGCATGGAGGATGCAGTGCATCAGCGAGTGGCATGATCTGGGCTCATTGCGATGGGGTCCGCCTCCCGGCATGATCTTCCCGACGGCTTTCGATGGCCTGGCTCAACGGCACAGCGGATCACCCCCACGACCCCGCCGCTGGGGGCTAACCTCCAGAGCAGGGATTGCTGGTATGCTGTCGAGAGTGCTACGTAGGAGCCTGGAGCTATGGCAAGTGTCTCGGCATTGAAGCGCCGACTGGAGGAGCGGATGGCGTTCCGGGCCGAGAAACCTAGATCCAAGACTGGCAGCGTATGTTCCATTCGATGGCTACATTCGGCGCGAGTAGCGTGTCGAGCAAAAGATTCCCCTCGGGATGCGGGATGAAGTACGCGGCATGGATGTCGGGCGAGTTGGGGGTAGACGCAGCTGGTGATGACGCTTCTTCAGGTGCTGGCAAGGCGCCTGCTTTCTAGACTTGGCTACTATTGAGTCCAGCAGGAACTCGTGGGTGAATGCTTCAAACCGGCCGTCTTGGGGTTCCATGCACTTCTTGAATATGGACCGAGGCCAGCATGGATGAAGCCAAATATCTTCCTCTGTCAAGCCTCAGCCACTTGGGGAACCGACCCCTTGGTCTCAACAGTGTCATGCTCCAGCGTAGATTCCTCGTCCTTGGCGGCTTGCTCGTCCATGGTGGCTTGCTCGTCTTTGGTAGCTTCCTCGCCCGTCGTGGCGTCGTCCTTGACAATTCTCTCCATCTCATTCGTCTCCTTCTCAACAGACGTTTCCATTCCAGGCGACTTTGGCTCTGGAGGCCCATCCTCCGCAACGAACTCCTCTTCAGTGCCATTTCTCGGGTCCCCCGTCACCTCGACAGTGCCGTTGGCTTCGCTCTTTCCATTCGCCGGCGCACTCAACTCGCGGCTCGCACGTCCATCCTCCCGTCGAACACTGAGACTTTTCTTCATCTCATCGGGCAGCTTCACGCCCCACTCCTCCTCAAAGTGATGCTCGAGATACTCCTCAAACTCCCCCGCAGCGCGCTCGTCGTGTGCAGACCACGCCTCCTCCAGCCACTGGGGATCGTGCTTGCCATCGCCCAGGTTTTCGGCATACCGGGCGCAGTCATGGCGGAACGAGTCGTCAGAGGCAAGGCTCGCCATGTCGGGGCGGGCCTCGGGCGTGCCAGCGTCTAGCATGGGCGTTCCCGCCGGCAGCAGCATGATGATCTCGGCGCGCTCGTCTGCCGTGAGGATCTCCCAGGCGGCAGGGGCGCTGAGCATAGCCTGCGTGGGTCAATTGTCTGAGTCTTGGCCTGGGGTAGGTGACTCTTCGCTCCAAGAAGCCTAACGTACCCTGATGTCTCCGTTCACCAATGGCGACTTTGCATTCGTGAGAAGGTCTTCGGCGGACCAGTTCTTGCGTCGTGTGGTTTTTGGCTTCTTGATGATGACCTTGGTGGTTGTTGTGGTTGGTGATGCTTTTTGCGTGGCTCTCGGCTGGCGGCCAGATCTGCGGAGGGGGGCCATTTCGCCTGTTTGCTCGGGCGATAGAGTTGGAATTTGCGTAGGAGACTTGTGCTCGTGGGCGTTGGCAAGAGACTCTTCGAGCTGGGTTTCAAGAAGTGCCGTTTCCTCCTTTGTTGGGAGGTTTCTGTTCGTTAATGACTGGTCGACTGGGGAGGTGTCTCTGGTTGGTGAGAGCTCGCAGGCGGAGTTGGATTGTTTCATTTCGGGTGAAGAGATCCTTAGTGACGGCTCTGGACTGCGGTCTGATAGAATACCTGGCGAAGACCCATGTGGCAGAACTTGCAATTCGGATGGTAAAGGAGATAAGCCAGAAGGCTGCGAGCTGGCTGGTGGAGCATCAGCCATAACGGCATCCTTCTTGTTTGCCATTGTTGAGGGGTGGTTTTGCTCTATTGTTTCATTGATGGAAGGTCGATGCTTCGGTACGCATAGGATAACAAGTTTTGCAGACTCAGAAGTGTCAATGCGTCAGATTGGTCGGATGAATATAGGGACCAGTGGCTATTGTCTCATGAGGCTCTGGGTTGTAACTTGGAAGGCACATGACAAAAGGGGAGCGATGACCTGGCAAGCACTCAGCAAGTCACCGAATCACCTGTCATCTATATGCAGCATACAGCAAAAGCAGCTGTTTCTTTTCGGAGCCTCCGCTTGGACGGCAGGACTTCATAATGGCAGCTCTGTGATGCTGCATTCGGCATGTCAAAGGCAAAACGCATGTGTCGTTCGTCGCTCAGTGTCATGATGCTTAGCCACAGAGCCACATCTCCATCGCATTACCAGCCACGAGCTAACGCCTAGAAGCTTGACCCCTGTCGACGACCTGATTGGCTGCTCGCCGAGCGCGTGCCATCATCGTCGAACCTCCTTTCGGTGATCAAAGACCTGGCCTGGACCCTGGTAGAAGGACCACCTCTACGTCCAGCATTGATACCCCTTTGACATATATCCCCTTCTGTCCTGTTCTGGTGCATCTGCCTGTATTGGTACCTTTTTAAAGCGCTCGTCTTGCTCGCCACACCACCGATCACGAGCTCTTCCTCACCAACCTTCCCAAGAGGACACGTCGATCTGTCGCCGGACAGCCTCGAATACATCAGGCATCGCCGCCCGCAGCTACACCCCATTCCCACGCACCACAACCACCAACACAGCCAAAATGAAGTCTATTCGGTCAACACAAATAGCGAGGCTCGACGGTACGCCCGAAAACGTCACTCCAGCCAGACTGATCTAACATTGCTCCGCAGGCCTCATGCTGTGCGCCTCGGTCGACGACGAACACCAAGAAGGCGACGTGGTCGAGATCAAGAACCAGATCCGCGCCGTGCTCCGCAAGGTCACCCGCAAATCCGAACCCCGCGCCAGCCTCGAGCTCGGCCAAGCAACCCTCAAGTGCGGCCTCCCCCTCCTCAGCAGCTCCGCTCCCCCCGTTTGTGGTAATCAACGACTAATCCCGACCGCAGCTACCTCATCGAGAACGACATCATCTTCCTCACAATCACAGACAGGCAGTACCCGCGCAACCTGACCTTCACCTACCTCTCGGACCTGGCGACCGAGTTTCAAAAGACGTACCCGCCGGCGCAGCTGCAGTCGCCGACGCTGCGGCCCTACGCCTTTATGGAGTTTGACACGTTCATCACCCGCACAAAGGCCACCTACTCGGACGCCCGCGCCGCCAACAACCTCGACAAGCTCAACGACGAGCTGCGCGACGTCACAAAGGTCATGACCAAGAACATTGAGGACCTGCTGTACCGCGGCGACTCGCTCGAGCGCATGGGCGAGCTGTCGTCGCGCCTGCGCGACGACAGCAAAAAGTACAAGCGCGCCGCCGTGCGCATCAACTGGGAGCTGCTGCTCAAGCAGTACGGGCCCATTGGCGGCCTGGGCCTGTTCATCATCTTCTTCCTCTGGTGGCGCTTCTTCTGATTTTCGCACCCCCGTCGATATTCAGTAATTTGGTTTTTGGAACGCGGAGGGAACCAGTCGTGGAGCGGGTGCATATCACGTTTTTTGGGGCAAAGGGCCGCCATGAGAAGAGAGCTGTGCAGACGACATATCGGCCAGAGACCGAAAAAAACAAGACGTGCCCCTGTCGGGGCCACGCGACATTTGAACTACATAAACCATTGCCTAACCCCCCCTTGCCAACCAAGAGGTTCCATCCTGTAAACGCCGTGAAGGTGAGAAAGAAAGACATTTGGATCGCTCCCAGCGTCAAGGACACAATGTGCCGTGCATACCCAAACTCATGCCCCGTCATGGCCTCGGGGACTGCCAGTCCCAGGCCTTCCGTGTAAACGTGTCACATTAACACACAACTTGCGGGCGCTGACGGCACCGAGACGCTTGGCAGACCCAAAGCCGTGTGCTGCCATGCCAGATGCTCCTCCAGCGCCCCAAGATCGTCCAGCACCAAGTCAGCGTCGGCATGCCACCCGCCGCCTTCGTCCTCTTCCTCGCCTTCGGGTGGTGTGTAGTCGGCTGGCGGCTCATCACACGCCGGACATCGTAGTTGCGCAACCCAGTCACCCTGCGCTGGGGCGACATGGTTAGCAATCGCCAGCGGCGCGAAGACGACGGTCTTTTCCGTGTGCGTCGACACACTGAACCCCGTCGCCTGCCAGTGCACTATGCCCGGTGGCGTCTCTTGGGGGAAGGGCCGCGCTATCCTCGGGCCTGGCGGCGCATCAGCCACGTCTGGTGTTTCTACGGCGGCAGCCGCTACAAGCTCCTCGTCCACGGTGCGCAGCGATGGCATTCCCTCTAGATCCTCCCAAACAATATGGCCATCACAAAAGTCGCACACAAAGGCAATATCGCGATCGCCAAAGCGCTCAAAACTGCCAACAGCGTTGCAGACGGCCAGCTCCTCGAGGTGTCGGCGGTGGTCCTCAAAGCTGTCGTCAGCAGCCGAATCGGCGATGCGGTCATCATTAGGGACGAGTGTCGAGCCCTGGCGACGATGTCTGTGCGGTTGGGTCGGCGTGCGAGGCGTGGAGGGTTGTTGTGGTTCTTGACCGGGCGTCACCGCGCCGGCGGCGGCCTTGGATGCTTCGGCAGCCTTTTTGCGGTCACGCAGGGTCCATGCACGCTGCTTGCGGTAGACGAGAAACGCACCGAGACAGCGGCTCGAGGAAGCTTCCTGCTTCGTAGCGAAGATGCGACGAGCGGCGCGACATTGGGCGCGATGAAGTTGGCGGCGGAGGTCAAGAGTGTCGCGAGCCCATATGGGATTAATGGGGCCGCCTTGCCGAGCCCAGTCGCGGAAATTTGTGGTGTGAAATTGGAAATTGGTCTTGAGGGTGCGCAGCTCATTCAAAGAATCGGCTTTTCGAGGTCAGTCAGGCCCGGGAGGGCAAGAGGCAATGGTGGTAGTGATAGCAAGGTTGACAATCACATGGTGGGGGGACACTCACGCTTGCGATCATACTGATAATAGCGCTGGCCATTGACAAGCACGGATAGCTCCTGGTAGTCCTTCTTGGCCTCATCGAGCGCGTGCTCGAGGCGGCGACGCTGCTCGTGCTCATCGGGGCCCCATTGGGACTTGTCGGCGCATTGCAGCACACGTAGGCTGTCGATGATGGAGTTCGCGATGTCAGCCAGAAGGGAGCCGACCGTGTCGTTGCTCATGGTTTGGGGGGCAGAGAATGAGTGGGTGGAGGCCGAGGTGGAGGTGTCGCGTTGGCTGGTCTGGGCTGGGGGCTGACCTGGCCGGGCCTCTCTGCTCTCTGCTCTGTCTCTCCTCTTGCGGTGTGTTGTGAATGAGGGAAGGGGGGGGGGGATTGTCTCCCCCAGCGAGTATGACAGAGAAGGAAAAGAACGATGAGGATTGAGGTGGATAGCTGGCCGACGAAGCCGCCGTGAAGCCAATGGCGGGACGGGACCCTGGCAAATCTGCAATCTGCAATCCGCAATCCGTAATCCGCAGCCCGTGTTGGCAGCTTGTTCGTGTCTTGGGAGGGGACTTTGATGGCTGATGCTGATGGGGAGGGACCTGTGCTCGTGCTCTGTTCTGTGGCCTGTACTCCGTGCCACGCCTTGCCCAAGGCACCCCGAAGCCGCCTCGGCGTGCCGCGTCGCTATCTTGGAGCTCGGTTGTACCTGGCCACGTATTGCAAGCGGGCCGGTACCTCACAGGCACCAGGATCCAAGGGCCCGACTACAAGTAGGTAGGTCTCCACTGCAACAGCAACAGGGCTGCTCCCTATTTAGCGTCGAAGGCAGTGCTGACCTCACCTTAGGTGCTCTTCCCTCAATGCCAGTGTCGTGATGGCCCGTGGGTCATCCTGCCTTCTTCGTTCTTCGTTCAATGGGCTCCCTCCCAGTTTGACCGTTTTGGCTCAGGCACTACCAAAGCTTACTAGCCTGAATACCTGCCCAAGGTAGGTACCCTAAGTTGGTACCTAGGTGAGGTGCTCAGGCGAGGAAGGAGAATCCCGAACTTCGTGTCGTGCATTCCCACACCTGGGGAGCACCTGACTGACCGCTGACAGTTCATTGCTACTGTATTCTTAGATGCCAGATCGTCAGGCGTAATGCACAGCACTTGCCGATATGTTTCACAAGGGAGCCACGCTGGCGGAACGAGGGAGGAAAACACCTGGGGCTGGAGACGTGGGCTGCGTACATGTCTACGTATTTGGTGGGGGCGCCTTACCCTCAGGGTGGCTTGGGGGCTCAGAGGCCTGGAGCCATCAGCCGCCGCGCGCCGTCCCTTCCCCCCCCCCCTCCGTGGCCGGGAAGCCCAGCGCCTCCGGGGCTGATGGGGGTGGCCCAGTCGATGCTGCGACACGCGAAACAGATCGACATCCATGCTGGGCCCTGTTCAACCCGATCTTCGCCAGGAGAGTCCCCAACCAGAGGCTTCTCACCTCATCGTAATCTTGGAACATGGTCTGGTAGTACATGCCGCCCTATACGTGGCAGCTTGTATCTGACCGGCATTGCCACATGCTATGATTGTCAATTATGCTCTCGGTGCTCAGTGTGGCTACTGTAGTGACTCGCCGTGAATAACCACTTGGTGTGACAGCCCAACGACCTGGACCTCACAATAATCGAGTTGCGCCTGTTTAAAGATACTCATAACGTACTGCTTGTTTCAACAGGCGTTTTGGCCGTGGCTGTCTTAGGGCTGAGAAGCATGTTTAGGTCGTTCCCTGACTTGATGCCTCCCCCACTCCTACAGGTGAATGTGTTTACAGCTGCTTGAGGTGCAGTTATTCCCTTCAATGGTCCCGATAAGGTTCAAGTGCTTCCAAATCAGAGCCGTGGCCACTGCATATAGCTCGGGATGCTCTGTTTACAGTCTGGCTCGCAGGGTCCATTTCAATCAACCTTCAGGCGTCCATAGAGCTGCTTGCTGCTGCTTCTGAGTTGGTGTTCACCCCCGTATACAGCAACAACTCGGGAGATGCTGGGTCCGGAAACAACATCATGCATCATGGCAGAAGTCTATGTAGTATCAACATATGTGCGTGGAACTCCAGTCAGGGAGCTGACTCGAGCTCCTAACGTTCATTCGGCTTTGATGTTTGATCATCGTGCTGCCAACAACCTCGTACATCAAGCTCTTGAACAGTGACCATGAGGCGGGGGAAAACAGGGAGTCTTTTGATATTTCTTGGCCCCTTGTCAATTACAACTGCAAGGTGGTTGATGGAGTCATGGGCTCGTCTTGTTTGACCGTCACAACCATCCCATCCCAGTTCTCGAACAACTGTACAAGTATTCCTAGAGCTGCTGGCATCCCACAAGCTTCGTTCGAAGCACAGCTACCCGAGGAAGATCCGAACGCTGTCCTGGAGCATTCGTGGGTCCAAATCTCCGAGATGCCACTCATGGCCGAGCTGTTGAACTCGGCCGAAAACTGGCGGCTGTTGCCTTCGTAAGCCACCCAAGTGTCCATTTGGGCAAGGCGACTTGTTGAACAACTCCCGATCAGTGATTGGCCTCGCCGTATCCATTCACTCGAGCCCCCAGTGGGTCCTGACCTGCCTAAAGTGGATCCCCGCTGGAGCTGTCAGAGTATAAAACAAAGCCTCCCATCCTCCCTTTACCTGTTTTCTCTCTTTCTTCTTTAGCTCTCTTTGCCTTTTGGCTTAGGTATGCAAACTTTCAACCTCAACACCTGGGATCTTTGCTAATTCAGCCTCTACAGATCAAGTGTAGTATCTGTTCTTTTCAGATTAGTCTCTGAAATCCTTCTACGGAAGGAACAATGACTAATTTTATTTTTGCTCTCAGGAGAGCTTCCTCTTTGCTTGCAAATGTAGCTCTCCACAGTGTCCCCAGTATAACACTGCCTCTGGGCGACGCGAAACTTTTTCATTGCTGCTGTGGCTTGCCATGGCTGTGAAGAGGAAGATGATCAAAATAACCAACGTGGAGAGCAAGGTGTAACTAGGCGTTGATCATGCCGTTGCCGTGGGTTGTCCTCGCGTTGCGTCGGGAGGGGCCTCTTCTTGGCAAGCACTAGAAGAGACGATGCATCATGTCTATGGAATATCGCAACATTTGAGTCCTAGGGTACCAACAGGCTTTTATTAAGCAGACAAGTGATTTTGCCAGGTATTGACTGTCCGCAGACGGCCTGGCTGACTGCTCCCACATATTCACCTGCCTCACCCGTGTGTCTTGTGCCCACCACCGCGTTGAGGTACACACCATGATCTTCCCTAGCTCCCATCGCCTCATCTGTACTGGACGCCACAGCAGACCTAGATTTGAGTAGCGAGTAGAGGCTGATCTTTTTGTCAAGCACACGGCCCATCTCTCCAGGGCATGCATTGCCTCGTTGCTGATGTTTTCCGTCAGTGCTCCAGCGGTGACAGAATTTCCAGCCACCAACACAGCCACACATCCAGGCTTGCCAGGGCACCGCCATCTTTCTCAGGTGTCCAAGATGGAAACTTCTTCTACGGCGGGCCACTAAGCTAACCTCAATACCAAGTAAGGTGCACCTGTAAACCTCGACTGACATTTTCCCTCTCCATCCTCCGACTCGTTTGCCATCACCATTGTTTACATCGACCAACCCGTGCAGCTCTCCCTCCATAAATCGCCCAAGATGGACAGAAGACGAGACCGCGACGGCCCTTCCGACCGGCGCCCCCCCCGCGGGCCCCCCCGCGACAGCGACCGCCCGCCCAGAGACCGCGACGCCGACAGAAGCGACCGCGACCGCCGCGACAACCACCGCCGGGACGACAGGGACGACCGCAACAGACGCTACCGCTCGCGGTCTCGCGACAGGCGCGACAGGCCGCGCAACGACCGGGAGCGCGACGGTGGGCGGTCTGGCAGGGGCCACGGGCGCGAAGGGGACCGGAGGCGCGAGCACGAGGAGCGGCCGAGACGGAGAGACGATGACGAGAGGGCACCGCCCAGGCGGCGGGACGGCGATGAGCGCGGTAGGAATTTCCTGAGACGTTTCCTGGGAGTTTCGTGTACTGACGCAACGATAGATCACCGCGACAAGGACCGTCGTCGCTCGGCGTCGCCGCGCCGCGGGTCCGCGAGTCCGCCGCCGCCGAGACAAGCTGAGGGACGACATGCCGAGACGCTGCCGACGCGCGGCAAGCTGGGTGACCGAGGCGGGAAGGAGCCGCAACAGACCATGTCCTTCAAGGTGGGCGGGGCGCGAGACTCGCCGCGACCGGACAGCGTGCGCAGCAGCGAGCAGCCTGAGGGGGACGCACGCATCGATGAAGACGGGGACGAGCGCGAGGAGGGCGAACAGGAAGAGGATGATCTCGAGGTTGAGGGGGACGATGCGATGGCGGCCATGATGGGCTTCGGCGGATTCGGCACGACAAAGAACAAGAAGATTGCGGGGAACAACGTTGGAGGTGTACGCAAGGAGAAGAAGAGCGAGTACAGGCAGTACATGAACCGACAGGGCGGCTTCAACAGGCCATTGAGTCCAGGAAGATAGAGAGAGAGAGAGAGAGAGAGAGAGAGAGCATCCACAGGGCGGTCTCGGCTCGCAGCATCGGCAGGACCACCGTAACGAGCCTACACTGTTAGAGAACAAAGCCTATGCGCCGATGCTCAGCTTTTAGATATCCAAATTCACAGCACCCGATCCAACACCATATACATGTCTATGCAGAACTTGTTGACCCAGGCGCCGCCGGCGATGAGGCTGGTACCTTCCCTTCCCTGGCCTCAGCCTTTAATGCACTCTCGAAGATATCCACCGATATACTCGTGTCTACAAACTCCTCCAGCTCCTCCGTGACCGTTCGCAGCTTCTCCTTGACGGCAATGGCGCCCTCAAAGCCAACGATATGTCGAGCAGGCGGGTTCTCGTGCCCACCAATAGCTGTCAGGGCGTGCACTGTCTCCATGACGAGGCGGTCGGTGGCGGCGGCAGACAGACGAGGGTAGCGTGACTGGACCTCTGTCGCGGAGGGCTCGACGGCCGTGTCGGGATCTGCGTTGAGAACGTTGGCGAGCATGTCACGAATGCGCGGCGCAGGCGCCTCGGGGTCGTCGTTGTGCAGCTGTGGCACGAAGATGATGCGGTTTGTCAGGGACTGGATCTCCTTGTTAGGCTGCACGATGGTGACCTTGATATTGAAGGGCGCAATCTCGTAGGCCAGGGAGTCACAGTAGCCCTCGAGTGCCCATATTGCTGATGTGTATATGGGCATGCCTGGGGTCCCGATATGGCCGCCGATCGATGTCAGGATGAGAATATGACCTGTGTGCTGATCGCGGAACAGGGGCAGTGCGGCCTTGATGAAATTGACCTGGGAGAAGAAGATGGTCTCGAACTGATCGCGGACGAGGTTTCGCGTTACGGGTTGGGCCGAGATCTCCTCGACAGTGCCGACAACGGCCTCAGACTTGCAACAGAGGAGAATATCGATGCGACCAAAAACATGGACAGCCTCTGCTAGGGCGGCAGTACACTGGCCGGCAACGCGGCCATCGCAGCGGATACCGCGTATGCGGTCCTTCCAGCCCTCGCGGTCGCGGCGATCCGACTTGCACTCGGCGATGAGCTCACGAAAGTCTGCGCTTCGGTCGTCGTGCTCAATCTCGTAGGGCGGCAGACAGGCAACAACGTAGTCGCCATGAGCAAGCAGCAAGCGTATGAGGCGGATGACAAGCGGAGAGAGGGCGGTTGTGAGGACCCATGTGCGTGGGGAGTTATGGGTGGCTGCGAGAGTGTGAACAGTGTGTCAGAAGCTGATGGCGCCTTGACGATGCAGAAACAGGTCACTCACGAAAGGAGGGTACAGGGAGGGATTGGGATGGCCGCGACGCCGAGTCGGATCCTTTGCGCTCCGACATGGGCACGAGGTGGAGGCGAGGGCCGTCGTCGATGACCGACAATGGCTTTGGCAGCGGTCGACTCACAGCTCACAGCTCACAGCTCACAGCTCACAGCTCACAGCTTGCAGCTCGCAGCTCGCAGAGGATGGATGTGAGGTGTGTCAAGCGCAAAGGTAAGAAGTATCTTGTATCTCGTTAGAGAAGTGGCTGAAGAAGCTTGGAAAGAGCAAATGAGTCGACCCCTCACCTCCCGCCGCGCCTGCCTCCCCCACCCCTGACACCCTTTCACGCGCGATGCTCCACCGGCGCGCGTGAAGCAGGAGCCACCCCACGCCCCTTCCACACCTAGATCTGGGGAAGCCCCGCCCAGCAAGCGCGTTGGAGGGGGGTCTTCGACCCCTCGGTGGGTCCTTCCCTGGGTGTGTCATTTTTGCTCCGATTACGCCGCGCTCCGAGTTTCGTCTTTTTTGGCGGGGTTCATGACAGCGACGGATCCTGTCTCTTTTGTCACCTCATCCTCTCCAAGAGTCATCATCCTACCCTTTTCTTCGTGAGTCATTGGCCAACCCCAGAACATCATAACTTGTTTATTTCCTCTTCTAACCTGGCTTGTGAGGCTGCAGTATCCTAACAAGCTGATTGATTTCTACCCTCGAAAACACCGCGTGTGATACTCCCCAGCATCTCCAACACCATCACCCCAAAATCCACCAGCCAGCCCACAGCCATGCCGACTCGCGAGGAAATCACATACTTCGGTGCCGGCCCGGCTCTCCTTCCCACCGATGTTCTCGAGACGGCTGCCCAGGCCCTCATCGATTACAAGGGTACCGGCCTCGGCATTGCCGAGCACTCTCACCGCAGCGAGCTCGCTACCAACATCATCAACGAGGCCAAGGCCGACCTGGCCACGTACCTCGATATCCCCACCGACGAGTATGAGATCCTCTTTATGCAGGGTGGCGGCTCTGGCGAGTTCTCTGCCACCATCTACAACCTCGTTGGTGTCTGGGTCACCCGCCAGAAGCAAGCGCTGCTGAAGGAGTGGGGTGTTGCCGACGACAAGGACGCCGCGGTCCACGAGAAGCTCGTGGCCGAGCTTCGCAAGCGTGTCGAGGAGAAGCTGAAGCTCGACTACATTATCACAGGTGGTTGGAGCCAGAAGGCCCACGGTGAGGCCGTCCGGCTTTTGGGGCCTGACAATGTCAACGTTGTGGCCGACGCCCGCAAGATCAACGATGGCAAGTTCGGCAAGATCCCTGACGAGAAAGACTGGAAGCTCTCCAAGGATGCCGCCATGGTCTACTACTGTGACAATGAGACGGTCGACGGTGTCGAGTTCCCCCAGTTCCCTGCCTCGCTGGCCCCTACGGCTGACGGCGATGGCCCCATTGTGATTGCCGACATGAGCTCCAACATCCTGTCGAGGCGGATTCCCGTGAAGAATTTCTCTGCCATCTTCTTCGGCGCCCAGAAGAACCTTGGTTGCACTGGCGTCACCGTTTGCGCCATCAAGAAGTCTCTGCTGCCGCCCACAACCCCTCAGCCCGACGCCACTCTGCTGCGCAAGCTCGGCCTGCCGATCGGTCCTATTATTCTCTCTTATGAGATCATTGCCAAGAACAACAGCCTCTACAACACACTCAGCATTTTCGAGTATGGTCCCTGAACCTTGTTTCTGTTTTGACCCACTACTAACACACTCAGCGTTTACATCGCCGGCCAAGTCCTGAAGAAGCTCCTCGCTACGTTCCCTGACAAGGTCGATGGCCAGCAGGCGATCGCTGAGAAGAAGGCGGCACTCATCTACGGTGCGCTTGAGGCGTATCCTGACGTCTACAAGATTGTGCCCGACGCCTCGGTCCGTTCGCGCATGAACATCTGCTTCCGCGTGGCGCGGGGCGGCGACATTGATGCCGCGGAGAAGGCTTTCCTCAAGGAGTCGACGGCTGAGGGCCTCACCGGACTCAAGGGGCACCGCAGCGTCGGAGGCATCCGCGCGAGCAACTACAACTCGATTCCCCTGGAAGGTGCGGAGAAGCTGGCTGCTTTTGTCAAGAAGTTTGCCGAGGCAAAGTGAGTTTAAAATGAGGGCAAGGGGCAAAAATGGAAAGTTTTCAGTTTGGCACATGATCAATGTAGGGATAAGAGCGAGCAAGATAACGTGGGCGCGTGATGGGCATTCAATATGTGTTATGTGCGATCATGGGAACACTTGTTCAACATTAGGTGTTCGCAGCAGGGTGGATAGGATACCAAAGCAGCGCGCATATCATGTCAATTTTGCAAGACAAAAAGCGACTTCTTGGGGCGAATCAGAGAAGATGCAGTATCAAACTCTTTCGTAATTCTCGTGCTCGTCACAGGCTCGTGCTCGTCACAGGCATCCAAACCGAATAATCACTTCTCACGAGGCCGCTCAGCTGCATCCTGAATGGTTGTCCCAGCTGCCACCTCAGGCTCGTCGTCCATGGTCTTGACCATGTCGTTGACACCAAAGAGCTCATCCATCTGCTCCAGACTCAGACCCTTGGTCTCGGGAATGAGGAAGTAGACGATGACGGCCATGACGAAGCTAAAGGATCCAAACATGAAGAACATACCCTGGAGATGTCAGTCTTGGCTCGTGACGTGACGGGGAAACGAATTGCAGAAAGCCGCTTACATAGCCCTTGTAGCCCATGGTGAGCTGCATCGTCAGCACGGTACGCGCAATGATAAAGTTGAAGAGCCACTGCGTCGCCGCCGCGAGGGCGACGTTCAGAGCACGGAGACGAGCGGTTGGGATCTCGGAGACCAGGATCCAACAGCACGGCTATGCCTTTTGTCAGTGATGCACGAGAGTCTGCGAATAGTCGGAGTGCTCACGCCCCAGCCAAACTGGAAGAAGACGACCCAGATGAAGATGCAGGTGATGGCGACGTAGCCGAAGGGCGAGATCTGTTATTGTCAGTTGGTTGAAGGCATGTTCCGGGTAGGCTTTGGACAAGAGGTCACTTGACGCTGGTCGATCTTCGAAACCCACATCCAACACTTAACACCCAGCACAGTATCAACGAAAGACTCAACTCACCGGCTCGCCCTCAACAGGGGGCTCCACTCGGCCGTAAATGCCCACAATATACATGGCGATACCCTGTCCGATGCCCGTCCAGATCAGACTCCTCCGCCGGCCCAGGGAGTCGGCAACGAAGATGAGGAAACACGCGCAGCCAACGACCTTGACGACGCCATAGATACCTGTGGCAAAGAGAGACGACTCAGTGCCACTCATGCCGAGGTTCTTGAAGATTTGCGGAGCGTAGTAGTTCTGGTGTCGAGTTAGCCCGGACCCCTACACAAACCCCAACCAAAAGCACGATGCATAGACATGGAGCACCAGAGGAGACGAATCTTGCCAGAGAAAAAGGCACGTACGACTGCGTTCGGCCCGCTCATCTGTTGGGAAATCATGAGAAAAACAGACAGCAGCGCTCTCTTGCGGTTGCTGGGAACGAGCCACATCTCGCGGAGGAGGGCCCTCGTCGTAGCATCGCCGACGAGGCGGCGCTCCGTCTCGAGCTGGTTCGACATGTCGTTGATCTCGGCCTGGACGTACTCGTGGTCGGCCGGCAGGGCCCTGAGCCTGGCCAGGATGGCCGTGGCCCGCTCCCAGTGGTCCTGCTTGGCGCACCAGCGCGGGCTCTCGGGGCAGAAGAGCATGCCGGCGCTGAGGATGACGGCGGGCAGGGCCTGCATGGCGAGGGGCACGGCGTAGACGGCGGTGCCCGTGACGTGCATGAGGCTGCCGTAGTTGACCCAGACGGCCATCATGGTGCCCGTGACGATGAAGAGCTGGTAGAAGGCCGTGAGGCCGCCGCGGATGGCGCGCGGCGCGCACTCGGAGACGTAGAGCGGCGTCAGCATGGAGGCGGCGCCGACGCCGACGCCGGCCACGAAGCGGCCCACGAACATGAGCGCCAGGGTTCCCTGGGCGGCCGAGGCGGCCTGGAAGATGACGCCGACGGTCGTGATGATGCCGACGACGATGAGGCACAGGCGCCGGCCGTAGCGGTCGGCCAGCCAGGGCGTCACGAAGCAGGCGGCGAAGCACCCGGCCTGCAGCGTCGACACAATGTTCTGGTCCTGGTTCGTCTTGTGGGCCTTGGAGCTGTCAAAGTAGCCAAAGCGCTTCTGCGTCTCTTCCATGGCGAGGACGCCGCCTATGGCGCCAATATCCCAGCCGAAGAGCATGCCGCCGAAGCAGGCTGAAGGGTGTTAGTGATGCAGACTGCGTGGCTCAGGAGGCGTGCCGTCATGGAAGGAGAGCAATGAGCAAGAAACGGGGGGCTGCCACTCACAAGCACATGCCAGAGCAAAGACTCTCCAGCCGTAGATCTCATGAGGATCAGTGCGCATCGCCTCATTGCGCACAATAGCGCGGAGGAACTTGGAGATGCCCATGACGGTGAATGATAAGGCGTCAAGAGATGTGTGTTTGCCACTTGAGCTTGGTGTTTCCTGGGTGAGCCCTCTAGAAGATGGCCTTCTAGCAATTACTGGACAAAAAAGCAGACAGCAACGTCAATCCCAGGGAAGAGGAGATGGAGGGTAACAGCAGCAATATGTACTCTCACGAGGAGCATCAGAAGCAAGTCACCGCCAGAGCAGTACAACACATGGCTCCCCCCCCCTCCCCAGACGATCATCCTTTCACCCAGGTGCTTCTGGATAGGCGCGCTCCGGAGCCTGGACCCAGCTTCGTGACACGGCCGCCGAGGCTGCGATTGGCGTGCCGGTGACGATCTGAACAGTGCGCCTGGGTCCCATGGGCCGGCTAATTCTGGCAAAAGCCTACCGGTTCATCCCCTCGGCGGCCGTTCTGCGTGTGCCGCATGGCAGCCTTTTCAGTTCGCACGGTAGTGAAACCCCAGATATCAGACATGGCCATGGTCAACGAAAGGTGGACGACACCATGTCGGGGGAAAGCTTGAAGATGAGTCCACGAATTGGCTGTGGCGGGATGAGCCTATCTCTGTCATCGTTGCACTGAGCCATGTGCCATGAGTCGAGCCGCCTCACAGAAGGCACCGCGCTGTGTCTTTGGTGGTCTCTCCTCGTAGTCATGTCCTTCGCTGTGTAATGAGACCGTTCTGACGGCTCAAGTACCGACTGCCAAGCCGCTACGTCCCAGCCTCCAAATGCTTGTTGACAGGCCCCAAGCCCAGACACAGCATGCTCCCCGCTCGAGACGCTGCTCCCATCTTTAGCCGGTAGGTAGTTAAGGAGAAGTAGGTAGGCAAGGAGAAGTAGGTAGGCTTTGCGGGGAGGGGATGAGCAGAGAAGGTAGCATTGCAGTAGCGCCGTCCATGGCCCGAATCCATGTCGGAGAGGGTGTGCTCGGCTACCGGCACCAAGCGCCGTCATTCGGGCGTTGGGTCGCTCGCATGAGGGGTTCTTGCTGGTGTCGATCTCGTGAGCTTGACTTGTGCTAGACATGGTGCTAGGTCGAATCAGTGGCAAGCTCGGTTTGGCTGTAATGGGGATCACCATGTCGAAAACAGGGCAGAGTCTCGATATGCCAGAGGACGGATGAGCGACGTCCGATGTGGCAGGCACTTTTCTACCGTATCTGTTGTATAACAATTATCATGGGTCTTTACAAAAAAGGGCTGTCCAGAGGCGTAGAAAAGAGCCCAGACGCTCCATCTCGGCCAAGCGGCTGCGCGGCTTCATGTTCCCATACTGCCTCTCCTCGACAACGCACACCTAAACATCCTTGCCCTCCGTCTCAACCCAAGCCGGCACAGCAGGCGGCGCATCCCAGCCCTCGAGATGCGTCCCCCGCGCGACGCCCTCGCCCGCAGGTCGCGCAAACACGGCCGCCACAAACCACGCCTCGTCGCCCGCCTGCAGCGTCCCCTGCAGCGTCGGGATGACGGACCTGCTCTCGACGAGGTTCGAGTTGGGGTCGGCGTTGACGAGGTTCGCCGTGCGCCGCGCCCCGGGCTCCAGCGCCCGGATGCCCACGGCCCCCGCCAGCGCCGACGCGGCGAACGCGCCGTCGCCGCCGGACGCCCAGCCCTCGGGGCTCGCGAGGTCATAGTTGCCAATGATGCGCGGCCGCGTGCCCTCGCCCGTCGCCTCGTCGTACAGCGGCAACATCCTGCCGTGCGGCGCCGTCTCGTTGCGGATGGCAAAGGCGCCGTCCGCCGTCATGACGTCGCGGCCGGCCGTGATGTGGTGGATGCGCAGGTGCCAGTTGGGCGTCGCTGTCTCGGGCGGCACGAGAATCGTCTTGACCGTCACGTCGACAAAGGGCTTCCACGAGGACACGAGCACGGGCTTGCCGGCGCGCGTCTGGATGCCTGCGTATTCCGACCGCCGCCGCGTCTTCCAGTACTCGCCGCCGTCGTCGGAGAAGCCGAGCTGCGACGCGAGCGCATACTGCTCGAGCGAGAAGAGGCCCGGCGGCACCGAGTAGCCATAGGCACTGCTGTAGGCGAGGCAGCCGTACTTGGCGTGTGTGCCCTTCATCGGGTAGCTGCACGCCTGGCCCGACGAGAGGAGCATGCAGTGGCCGCCAAGGTAGCTCATGATGTGGCCCGGCTGCTCGAGGGGTTTGACTGCAGGGATGACACCCCAAGCGTGCTCCTCCTCGGACGTCCAGAACGGGTGGTCCTCGGGCACGGCGAGACAGATGAATGCCAGACAGGCCCAGTACTGCATCATTGTCAGCTAGCTGCGCTATTGCTCCTCACAAGGGGGGGGAGGGCTGTAGTCGAAAACACGTACAGGGCTCCCCGGGCTGTTGTAGTTCTCGGCCATGTACATGTTGGGATACGAGTACCCAATGGTCAGCGTGCCGCTGGGACTCCAGATGTCGTGCTGCGTCTGCCACCAGCGCAGATGGCGCATCACGATGCCCTTGACCATGCCCCAGGTCAGAGGGGCCGGCAGCTCGACGCCGGCGTAGGCCAGCGCGCCCCAGAAGGAGACCATGGCGAAGCGGTAGCCGACGCTGCGGCCGAAGGGGATGGACCGTCCCTCGCGGTCGTAGTAGTGCACAAGGTCGAGCGCGATCGTCTGCGCGCGCTTCTTGAACTCCTCGGCCCTCGCCGGCTCGTCGTCGCCCGCCAGCTTGGCGTACAGCAGCTGGAGGAACTGAATGGCGAAGCTGGACGAGTAGTAGTCCATCATGTGAATCCCCTCGGGCCCGTCGTTCGACCAGCCGCCGCCGCGGTAAAAGGTGTCGAGGTGCTCAATGTCGGCGTCGAGCCTCTCCTGCGAGAACTTGCCGCCGTTCTTCTTGAGGCCGAGGTTCGCGAAGACGCGGAACCAGAGCCAGTTGGTGTTGGGCATGCTGTCGAAAGGGCGTCCATTAGCTTCTGGTTTGCGCTTCGCGCTGGCGAGACGTTGCTCACTTCTTCTCGTTGATCGAGTTGCCCAGCCAATTCTCAACATTGCCGCGCTCCCTTTCTGTCAAGTCCTGCCAAAACACCGGCGCGACAGCCAAAGCGAAGCCTGCGCAGGAAGCACGTCAGCAGGCCCGCCTCGCAAAAGTAGAAGCATCACAAAGGTGGAAGAAGCATCCAAAGTCCTACCGAGCGGGCACATCTCCACCATGCGCTGGTCATTGTCCCTCGGGTGGCCCCAGTACTCGGGGTTCTCCGGGTCCGTCCCAGACTTGAGGCCCTCCACCCACCACGGGGTGCCGCGGTACTCGCCGCCGCCGGCCAGCAGACACGCGAGCCCCCACAGCGGGCGGCAGATGCCCTCGACCTCGGCGGCCGTCTGGTCGAAGCGCACGGCCGTGCCGCCGGGGACGCGGACGCGGGCCTTGTGCGGCGAGAAGAAGGGCTCGAGGGGGTCGAGCAGGGTGCGCAGCAGCTCCTGGACCGAGGCGCGGTCGGTGAGGTCGACGCGGGAAAAGGGGTGCGCGCCGTTGTAGCCCAGGACGAGGCCCGTCTTGGGCTCCTGGAGTTCTGTCGTCATGTCGTGGCGACTGGCGAGAGAGAGAGAGAGAGTTGCTTCTTCCCTTAGACACGAATCGAGAATAGTCAAGACAAAGATGTTGAAATCTCAGGGTGGCAGGGGGAGGAAGCAAGCATGGCAGCCAGCTCCAGATAACAAATGCTCCGAGACCAGCTAGCTCTTCTTCATAGGTAGGCTTGCAAGGCTTGGTAGGCAGGATAGGTAGCTTCGAAGGGGCTCTTGGAGGACCACTCTCGCCCCCCATTGAACATGTCACCTCGCTCTCAATTAGTCCAGCAATCACGGCTTCGGATGTTTGCTGTCGGCATGTCTTGTGGCGGGGTCATCCTGGCACAGCGTGTCATCGCTGGCATCTCCCCCGCCTCGAGCCTGTGATCTCCCACGACCAAGAGGGGTTGGCTCGCCGGCTCTCTGGGCGGTTCCGTGGGGGGGGGGGAGGGGATCCCCCTTTAGTCCACCCGAAGGAGCCAACTGTGTCGGCTAAATGGGATCTGATGATCTGCAGGCTGCAGGCTGTGGGCTGTGGGCTGTGGGCTGTGGGCTGTGGGCTGTAGGCTGGAGAGCCGTTGTTGAATGGTGCCCAGAGCCGACATTGGTGGGGGGAGCAGGGCCCTCGATCCTATTCTGTGCCAGTGTGAGTTAGTCAAGTCAGCAGCATTGCCAAGTTGAGCCAGACGTGCACCAAAAAGGGGTTTGCCTGTGAAGACGGGTGAAATGCTTCTGTTCGCCGCCTCAGCTCATGAATCCACGAAAGGACGCGGACCGGCTTCATCGCTTGAATATACGTAGATTTGAATAGGTGACAATTGAAGATGGAAGCTTTACTCCCCCCGTCTTTCCGCCATATCCCTCTTTCGCGATCCCCGTTTCCCCCCCGTACACTTGCGGCCTGGCTTCGAATGCTCGGTTCACTCGCACACGGGCGCGAATAAACATTAGATAAGGTATGATGGTTGCGTAGATGAGCGCGTGTCCGTCGCATTCGTCGTCGTCGTGCTGCTGCTGCTGCTGCTGCCGCCGTTGCTCACGCCTCTGCCGGGGTCTCTTCAATGGTTGGTGTCGGGGGTATATCCTCCTTGCTCGTCTCGGCCTGCGTCGCCGCGTCGCCGCCGTCGCTCGAGCTCACCGTGCTGGCCTTTTCCCGTCTCCTCCTCCTCATCTTCCTCTCTTCCTCTGCCGTCTGCCGCCTCGATCGGCGGATGCTCTCCCTCTTCTCCGGGTCGTCGTCGTCCGCTCCATCGCCACCGCGCATGCCCTGCAGGAGCAGCGCCGCGCGCGCCGCCACGTCGTCCTCTCCGTCCTCCCGGGGCGAGGACAGCCCTGGGCTGACAACGCTTCCTTCTTCGTCGATGACGGCCTCCTTTGTTTGGAGCGCCGCCTCCACCTCGGGTATCTCGTTGAGGTCGGGGATCTTCTGGCCCGAGGCCACGCGGACCTGGTGCCGGTCCTTGAGACGCGCCTTGCGCCGTCGATCTCTCTGGTCGCGCGTCTGAGGTGCCGCTGCGCGCAGCTTTTCGAGCAGCGAGTCCATGGCGCCCGTGCTCGACGGGGACGGAGGCGCGCCTTCGACCGCGCCACCCGTCACCTTGAGCTGCGCATGCTTGCGTTTCATCGAGGCTTCGTTACGCCTTCGTGTCTCCTCATACTGCATGTTCTTCTCGCGCGACTTCTTCCAGTCCGTGAGGAACGACGCCAGCTTCGAGAAGAAGTCTCGCCGCGCGTTGTCGTCTGTGGGGTCCTCGCCGTAAAAGGTCATAATGTCGTTGTACGACTTGGACATCTCCTCAAGGTAGAGCTCCATCTCTTCGGCCTTTCTGCGCGCATCCTTCATGTGCCTCTGGACCACCTGGCCCACGCGATCCTGCGGATGGAACTTCTTCGAGTCGCTGAGGTTGCCCGAGTCGAGCGACATCTGGACGTTGCGGACATTGTCCATGTATCGTTTGGCGTCGGACTGCAGCTGCTCAATGTTGATCTTCTGCACCGCCACAATGTCACCAATGTCCGTGGCAAAGTTCTCCCACTCGGGGTACTGGTTCCGCACAATGCGCTCGACCAGATCAGCGAGCGTCGACTCGTTCTTGTCGTCCTTGACCATACCCAGACGCGCCAAGGAGCTGAGCTTGAAACCGCGAGATTGCTTGTTGGCATCGTTCATGTAGTTGCCAATATCGAGAATGAGGCCGAGAACGTTCATGAGAGACACCGAGTCTCGCAGCGATTCCGAGACGGCCATGACCTTGCGAATCTTGTCCGTAATCTCGTCGTAGTCCGTCTCGTAGCTCTTCGTCAAGGCCAGCGCGCGCATTCGGCTCTTCCAGTAGTGGTGCAACTCAAACGCAGTGAACAGGAAGATCTGGTCCTGCCGTGTGAGCTCTTCGGGGTCCTGCTCCCTGTTCTCCTTCTCAGACTCGGCACAGGGTCCAGTCTTTGCTGTAGGGCGCCATGAGCTTGGGTTTTATTCTCCCCCAAACAAACAGAGATCCTCCCTCTGTAGGAAATCCATGACACGTTATTATTGAGGAGATCGTTATCGCAGTGTATAATCATCTGCACAATCTTTTCGACAGAGATAAAAAGACAACTTGGCGAGTGCGATTTCTGATGACGCCTGTTAGCAACATGGTTTTTTTTTTTTTGCCTACATGACAAGAACGCAACACTTACCAAACGCTTTGCGCAGATCAGCAGAGATGATCTGCTTCTTGTCATCCTTCTTCGCGCCACCTTGGCCGAGTCTTTTCGTTTCCTTGGCCATGAAGAGCTTCTCGACCTCGTCCAAAATGCCCTTGCGACTGAGCTCGAGATACTTCTCCTCACGCTCCTCCGCAGACGGGGTATGAGCGGCCCAGTGCGTCGCCATGGGCGAATCGACCTTGTCCCAGTGGAGGGCCTTGAGCTTCTTCTTCGGCCGAACCACGGGCAGCCCGATCGAGGGTCCTGTGGAGAAGCTTGCCGTGTTCTGCGACAGGAAGTGTCCAGATATCGCGCCAGGCATTGGGGGCGGCGGCGGAGGAGGCATACCAGGCGCACCCGGCATTGGCGGGGGAGGGGGAGGCGGCGGCGGCGGTGGTGGCCCACCGCCAGGGGAGAGCATGCCGGGCATCGGGGGCGGAGGAGGAGGTGGTGGAGGCGGAGGCGGAGGCGGAGGGGGTGCACCAGCTTGGCCGGGCATCGGAGGTGGAGGTGGCGGAGGTGGCGGGGCGGAGCGGCGCCGGTGACTTCGATCTTGGGCGTATCGGCATCTGCTGGTGTGACGAGCGAAGCGGACTCGATCGTGGTACCTTCGCCATCCTCCGAGTCGCTGGCGTCGTACTTTTTGAACTTGGTGGCCATCTCGCCATGAAGGGCGGCTTGCTGTTTGGCATCCACAACGGGCCTGCGGATCTCGACCATACGGGGCAACTTCATAAGACGAACATCGTCGTCTTCGCATCTCGGCAAGATCGTCTTCGCGGCCGCCGGTGGCGAGGACCGACCGGCTTGCGGCTGATCTTGGTGTGGCGTTGGACGCTGCCCAGCATGCTGTTGGTAAAGTCCCTAGGCGGTGTGCCGGCGCCCTGAGGGGCACTGCCGTCGTCCATCTCTTCACGCAGTGCACGCAGACGGTCAGACGGTCCCACGGCGTCACCCCATACCCTGCCTTCGAGCTTGAATTGCGTCTTCTGGCGCTCAATCTGCATCTGCAGACGCTCCATGAGGCGTTCACGGTCGAGGATGCCCTGCATACGCGTCGGATCCTCGGCTGGGATTTTACTGTTGCCCTTGGCGGCGTTGGATGCCGCGACATCCTGAGCATCTCTGAGCATGAGGTAAAGCTCTCGGGTCTCCAGCTCGTTGCGCTGCGCTTCTTTCTGACGCACAGTCTGGAGGCTCTCGAGTTCGGCCTTGAGTCCCTCCGCTTGTCGCCGTTGAGCATCGATGAACCTCTGCTGTTCCTCGAGCTGTTTTTGGAGCTTCGCCACGAGGCCGTCAGCGCCCAATTCGAGCTGAGCCTTCATCTCGTCGCGCTCTGCCATGGCGGCATCTGCGATCTGCCGCGCCTCCACAGATTCATCGAGAGCTTGTCGGGCCTCCGAGTCCGTGTGAAGTTTATCCAAGAGACTTTGGACGGTAAAGTTGAGGCTCTGCTTCAAGTCCATGTCCGGTAACCTGCGGTCCATCGCTACATAGCTCAACATGGAGTCCACGAGCTGAAACATGCGCAGGCGCTCCTCGCCATCCGTGTCGCGAATGAGCAACAGGTGCTGAAGCGCCGAGAGGAAGTAGTCTTGGGTCTTGCTGCCCTGAAGCCGCTGCTGGATGGCATCAACAATCTGGACGGGGTCGTTCAGGTCCTTGACCTCGGCATCGATCGAGTCCTTGATGCTGCTATTGTCCCTCTCGAGCATATCCTCGTAGTCGATAGCTTCGTTGGTTCGGAAGCGCTCGAGTTGCTTATCGATGAGATCGTATTGGAACGACTCCATCTTGGTGAGGATCCTCTTGATGCCGCAAGCCAGGAACTGGGCTCTAATGTGTATCCGCATTTCAAGCTCCCTCGGCGTATCGACAATCATGTTGATGAGAATCATCGTGGCCACGGCGTATTCCATGAGCAGGTTCTCCATGCCAATGCCGCCGCTGCGGACTTCGTCGCTCGCACCAACCAAGCTGCCCATCTTGCCGCGGCCATCGACAGTGACCTCGACCAGGCGCATCCAGGCGTCGAATCGTCCATTCTCGCCTGCCTGGCTCTTGACGGCATCCAATGCCTGGATGACTTTGAGATGGCCTTGCCCATCGGCCCAGTGACACAGGAATGTCAACACCTCGCTGACCAGCTTCCTTGTCATGAGTCGTGGGGAGATGAGTGATGTTGCAAGTGATATGACAACCTGCTGGTGAGCCAGGGCATCATCGGCGCCAAACTTGTTGTTCATCAAGGCCTTGAGACACTTGATGATTTCATATTCGCGATCAAGGTTTCGATCGGGACCCTTTTGGTCGGGAGCCGCCGGGCCAAGAGCCGTCTTCCGGTTGATCTTGAGCAAGACGTTTGTCATGGCCACTTGTCCCTGACACTCGATGAAGCGCTTGACCCATCCTATTTGTTGAGTTCTGAGGTTGACTTCGAGGCTCCCCAGTCCCTTCGTGTCCAAGCTGTTGTCCATCACGCGTCGGACGTACCATTCCGGGGAACCTTCCTCGTCGGAGGACACTAGGATATCTGGGGTCGCAAACTGTCCGGGGAACTGGTTTGGCCTTGCCGTCTGCCTCCTCTTCTGCTCGCCTTGCCATTCGGCAAGGCGGTCCTGGTGCAGCAGGGTCCATTTCTTCGAAGCCGGATATGCGACCATCTGGCGTTTGGCCTGCTCGGGGAGGTTATGCCATCCTCTCTTCTGCATCAGGGCGAGGAACATTTGATCGATGACATGGTCATCGTCCGGTCTAGGGAAATAAAAGCTTTCGTGGCCGCCGCCGGTGGGAGGGGCGCTCATCATGCCGGGGAATTTCGTCAGACGGTGCGAGTCTCTGTAGTAGGACTGGTGCGGTGAGAAGGAGCTCTGTGACGAAGCACTCGGCAGTGCTAGTTTTGATGAGCGGGCTGCTGTCATTTCGTGGGTACCTCCATTACCTGAGAAGACGCTGGAATGATCAGCAGAATTGCGACCTGCAGAGGTCATGTAGGAGTCGTATCTGGGATTGTGAGCGCCGTTCACCGTGCTCGCGACGCTACTGCGGGCAGGGCCTGGCCCCCACTGTTGCAACATAGCCTGGCGGCCCGTCGTGGCCATGGTGATGTTGGTCCCACCAGGACCGGCAGACGGCCGTGCCGCCGAAAGATGGGATCCGGCGGCAGCCTGCATGGCGGAAGGGTCAACGTTGGGGTATTGGTGAAAGTCGCCCGTCGCCTTGTTCAGCTGGTGAGGTAGCAGTTCGCGGCGCACCGGGGCCTGGTCGGGCTTGGGTAGGTAGTCGACGGATATCGGGGATCGTGAATCGGCTGGCACGCTGTCGTAGGGTATGCTGGTCATGACACCAGCCATGGGACTGAGGCCGTCGTCTGAATAGGCGCGATCAACGGAGACGATGGAGGAGTCGCGGTTGTGGCGAGACGACCGCGAGCCTAGGGTGCTGGGTGCGATGCTGGCCGTGTCGTAGTTGTCGCCCGAAGCGAGATGGCGACCTTCATCGCTTGTGAATCGTTTATCTTTGTCCTTGTCCTTGTTTCTGTTTCTGGAGAAGAAGGACTTGCCGCCAGAAGACTGCCTCGACTTGTCGCTGGCCGACATGGTGGGCGGGCGGGCGAGAGGTGAAACACCTGGCCCTGGGTCGTGTATCTATCTACCTTGAGGTTGTACCCCTGGTAGGAGGATTCGATATTCTGGGTTGCGGTTGAATGGGTACGTTCAAGCCTGGGCGGGCCGACTGGAAGGAGCGGGAAGGCAGGCCGAGGCCGGTCGCATGATGGGGGTCGGCTGAGCCGGTAGACGAGGAGAGTCGACGAGGAGCGAAGCGGCTTTGCGCGGGGGGAGGAGCAGGTACGAAGCGTGGGTTGGGTTTCTAATCGCATAACAAAGTCGTGTTTTAGCATGTGCTCTTCTTCAAGCCTGGTTGGATGGAGAGGTTTGAGGTCGAAGATGGGACGTTCCGGAGGGGGGTTATCCCTGACTGCAACATACACTTCAAGTTCTCCCAGTGGTTGACGAGGCCGGGTCGGGTGTGTGTGTCTGTGTGTGTGTGTGTGTGTGTGTGTAGAAATGCGTAGTGGACTGGGCCGTGGTCTACGTCTCGGACTGGGTGAGTGCGAATCAGGTCAGGGATCGACAGGCGAGGGGAACAGTCAGCGGTGGGTTTGGGTGGGCGAATCGATTGCGCGGTCGCGGGTTGTCGAGATTTCGTTTGAGGCTCCGGAAGGGCGGCGCTGGGAACGGTAAGGTTCTCGATGTTTCGTTGCAAAGGACGAATGTTTCTCGCGCCGGGTAGACCACCGGTGGGCGTTGGCTCGGATCCAGGCCCAGATGCGGCACTTGGTCAGACGGCGGTTGTTGGCTGACAGCGCTGCACACACGGGGTCTGAAGAGGCCTGTCGGTGAAACGAAAGAGTGACTCGAGACTAGGCGGAGAAATCCATGTGTTGCTGAACGACGAAGAGGCGGTCGCTGGGACCCTGGCGGCATGAAACGAAGCCGAGCCGGTTTGACACGTTCAGGGGGAAGAATTGGGGATCCCATCTCGACAGTCAGGCATCGATTTGGGCGGACTGGGGTCGTATCCTGACTACCTACCTCTGCTTACCTTAGGTACCTAGGTAGGTACCTGCCTATTGTAGGTAGGTGCCCAAGTAAAGCCAAGGTAGACGCGGCCCAGAACGTCCCTGCTCTTAGCCTGCGCCGAGAATGCGCGACCCTGAGCCCCCTGTCACTGTCACTGTCGCTGTGACTGTCACTGTTACTGTCCCTGTGACTGTCCACTCTCCGCCAAATAAGAACGTGACCACAAACATGCATTGCTCTGTGTACCACCTGTATGCATCCCAGGCCTCAATTCTTCTAATCCGTCCAGGGGTTCGGCCTTTTCCTCCCCATCTCTCTCTGTGTCTCGCCTTCTCGCCCTCTCTATTCGCATGTAGATGTTCCAAGTCCATACAATTGAGACTGTCTGCCATCTACCTATGGGAGCAACCACATGCTCTTTACTTATAGTCATCGCCGGCACGTGCGAACACATTCAGCCTTATGCCCCCCCTCCATCAAAGCAGCGCCCACCACCACCACTACCTAAGGTACGGTTCAGGAATTCTACGCGTCCACCACACGTCGTCAGTTGAGCCAATGGGGAGCCACTTGCTCGTGTCCCGTGGTCTGTCAGGTGAAGTACTACTCAGGAGTCAGCCCAGGTAGGTATCATAATACTAGGTTCTCAAGACTCAAGAGGCTAGACAGCAGGTAGATACTAGATTCTCCATCCCTTCTCTCCCCTGGCACATTAAAATCAACAGACCATCAATACGACGCCAAAATTCATTTCTCTGTCTTGCAAGAGGCAATCAAGGCGTGGAAGAGCATGGCACGGTGGCATCTAATCGCGCGGCGTACTGCTTTTGCGCCGGCCCTCGTCTGAATATGCGTATATATTCCTGACGGCGTCCTCGCATATCTGTGCTTCTACCTTGACGATGATGGGCTCTGTCGTGGCCTTCTCGTTGCACAGCCCAGTAGCGGGAGCATCATATAAACATTCATGAGGCACACTGTACTTTCAGCTAGACCACCCTCATCACTATAAACAACCTCAGAACAAGGCAAGAACCCTGATACCTGGGGTGAATGCTTCTTAGTGTGAAGAAGGTCTTCTATTCCTTCCCACCTCCTTCTCTCCCCCTTCCTTCTCTCCTCTTTCCCTTATCCTTCCCCTCCCCTCTCCATCCCTTTCCCTCCTCCTTTCCCCTATCCTTCTCCCCTCCTTCCTTCCCTCCTCTTTCTCCTATCCTTCTCCCCTCCTTCTCCCATCCCTCTCCCTTATCCTTCTCATATACGGAACCTAGTAAATAATGCCGGCCAAAGAAATTCGCATCCAAGAGGATGCTCAAGCGCTGTGCGACCGCATGCAGCTGTTCCAGTCAATGTGCACAAAGCAGGTGGACGGGTATCGCCGAGAGGACCTCGCCTGTGTCGCGCTCAGCGCCTGTGCACCTCGTCAGCGCAGACCACAGAGTGCGGAACGTTTTGACTACATGGACATGGAGACCGACCAGGAGAAGGGCGACAGGCGGCGTATCATTCACAAGCTCTACAACCGTCTCATCGTGGAACACAACCAGGAGCAAACAGTCAGCACGAAACCGGCCTTGAAAGTCACCAGTGCTCTTTCCTGGGCACTGCTGCAAGTCACCAACATCGACGAAATGCGCAAGTTGGAGCAGACTCTCGATTCGACAGTAGATATTCCAGAGTATTTTCAGAGCATCGAGGCCATTCTTGACGGATGGAATCTCCACTTCAAGACATGTAGGCTGCCAGTTCCCAATTTCAACGTCAGGCCTAACACACCTGCGCCTAGTCCTGACGCTCCCGCCGTCTTCTGGTCGTGGTGATGGAGAGCCGCAGGCGTTGAAGAGGCGCAGGTCCAAGAAGGTGAAGGAAATCGTAAGTTCTCAAAATTCGTCTGCCAGTTCAGAGACTGAGACTCTTTAATAGTGCATTGCTCGCGATGAGGAATGCATTTTGACTGGGGATCGAGAGCCTCATGTAGCGCACATCTCCCCCTTCAGTGCCGCAAGCGCCCAGCAAACTAAGTTCATTCTTGCTCGGCTATGGGGCCCGGACAGAGAAAAAGCCATATCTAAGAAGCTTTTCCCGAACGGCACAACAGGTATTGACGTCATTGGCAATGTCATATGCCTCTCGCCGAACATGCATGCCGCCTGGGCCCGGTACGACGTTGCACTGTTCCCTATGCGCCCGAGCGAGGAAAAGGAAGAGGGCAAATGGTGTATGAAGGTTGTTTTCTACTGGTTGAAGCGCTGTTCGGTGGCCAAGACGTCGAGCATGGGCAGCAATATATGGGCATCCGCTCGGGAGGTCCTGCTCCAGACTGCCATTGGAATCAAAAAGCAGCGGCCCCGAGCTGTCGACCTGCGTACGGGCGCACCCGTCCTTGATGGGCAGATTTTCACCATCAAAGCAGCGATGAAAGATGATTTGCCCGACTACGATATCCTCATGCTCCAGTGGGACATTGTGCGCATGGCATCGCTGTGCGGAGCTGCTGAGTCGGGTGATGACTATGATAAAGACGCCTATGATATAGATGATGATGAGGAACATGTGGAGGCTGAGATGGAGATGACTAATGAGTGAAGAAACGACATGTGTTCAGGCAGCAGGACAAGGACATCAGCATCACCCAACCTATTCATAGTGTTCCTAATACTATGATGGGAAGCCCTATTAAAGGCTCTATGTCAGTCAGTCATAGTTGAATGCCTTAACATCATAGCAGTAGTTGAAGTATGTTTAGCTATTCTAGTTGCAACACTATATCTTTAATGTGTCTGTTGCTATAGGTACTTTATATAACTCACCTCGCTAACAGATCATACCAGATCCAGGGGCCCTGTCCAATCAGCAGCGCCTATTCCAGTGACAATCGCTAAGCCCGCGCCTTCCGCATCCCTGATCGGGCCCCATGCGGCATGCTGCCCTTTCAGCTCTAGATCATCCATCATCCCAAGGCACCAAGGACTATCTCATCGCTCGGCCTGCCCTCTCGACTGTTGCCCATTGTCACGACGCCTGCCAACGCAAGACTAAACCTCCACCACAAGCCTCCCCGCAGGAAAACCCACCTAGGTACTGGCCCAGCATGGGCAGCGTGGCTGTTTTCAAGGTAAGCAGCATTGTTTCCATCATCGTCATCATCCGCACCACCAGGCAGACCAGGCAGACCGAGGCATCCCCGCTGACAGCTCATCACCAGGTCCTCATTGTTCCGGCCGTCATCTCCCTGATCCTCTTCCTCACATTGACCTTCGTCCTCGCTCCCCTATGGCGCAAGACTCGCGAGCGCTACGGCCAATACGTTCCCGTGCACGCGATACAGAGCAGCACCCTCTCCTTCGGCCAAAGTCTTCGCAGTGGCGTCTCCGGCCTCATGGAACGATCAATATGGCGCCGAAACGCGTCCCAGGGCGTGGCCATCGGCAGCGATCACTCCGACGATGGCTTTGCATCCGACGACGGCGAGGAGCTCGGCCAAGTCAACCAGAACACGCGGCAGGCCATTGCCGAGGATGCGCGACGCAGCAACCCAGAGAGCACGAGGAGGCTGAGTAGGGAGTATGTTGCGCCCTCCCCAGTTTTGCATCACGCATATGCTAATACCAACGCCTACAGTTTGGAAGAAGGATTCAGGGATGACAGCGACGACGAGGACAACGGGCGTCGAGCCAGATAGCGAGCGAAGCAGAAAGAAATGCGACGAGCAGATTACCGACCCCCAACCTTGATTTCCCCTTGACCCTGCATGACGCCTCAGGTGCCTTCCAGCAGGACGCGCTGTCGGCCATGGCGCCATTTCCCCCTTCACTGGAGAGCTTGAAAAAGCTTAGAGGGGGGGAAGGGCCCACGTTGTACTATGTTAAAGAGCCTGGTAACAGAAGCAGAGGAATGCTGGCGGGTTTCGCTCCACTGCAGTATGTCCCGGAATCGGAATGTCTCACTTGAGAGGCGGGCAGCGCTATTGGGCTCAAGGCGGCGTCCTGGCCAGACACGCTCTACGCGAAAGCTTGCGGGACCTCCCCAGGTCCCACGCTCAAGTGAGACATGACCTCTCCCGCACCGGATGCGGCTCATGCTGGCGGCATCAAGGATGATCCCGCGCGCGGCGAAGTCGCGATTCTACAGCGCGGAGCACTCAATCACGAACACCACCGTTTTGGTGTTGTTTCCCCCTTCCGCTTCGAAGCTTGGGGGGAGTCCGGCTGTGCACATTTTCGTTCACGCCCTTCTTGCTGCAGAAGTCTTCCAGCATGATAGTTCAGCCGGAAGCAGGTCGTCGTAAACTTCTCCGTAGGCCCAACGGGCCCTCCCCCCTCAAAAGCAGAGCAGACGCCTCTTTTCGGTAGTTGAGTTCGCAGATCATGTTCTTTTCTCTCTACCTCGACATTCACTCGTTCAGTCGAAGCCTGCGGCATCGCCGTCACTCGTTGCCGTCTTTCGTTCAGATCCCTCGCTAAAGTCATCCTGCCGACGACTCAACCCCCCAGTACCCTCTTTTTTGGCCCAGTCGGCACCACGCACTACATCACGGAGAGACAAGAGATCGACAGGGGGGAAAAACAACATTCTCGCCACCATGCAGTCCGTGTTTCCTCAGTTCGAGACGGCCTGGGTCCTGCCACCCCCGCCCCCGTCGTCCTCCCACGCCAGCACGGAAACAACAGACGCCGACTGCTCGATATGCTACGAGCAGGTCGGCCGCGTCAAGCCCGAGGGCACCATTGAGTCGTGGCTGCACTTTCCCTGCGGTCACCGCTTCGGCAGCCTGTGCCTCCTCAACTGGCTCTTTGCCGACACCGTCACCAAGTTCGACTGCCCCATGTGCCGCCGCCTGCTGCACTGGGAATGCGGCCACCTCGCCGTGCCGAGCCCCGCGCCCTTTGGCAGGAAGGAGGTCGCCCGGTACGCCGCCGAGCCGCGGCGGCCGCTGCCCGGGCCCTGCGAGTTCTGCCAGGAGTGGTGCAAGGCCGGATTCCGGGAGCGCATGGAGCGCCGGAGCAGAAAGGTCATGAGACTGCTTCGGGACCGCAGGGCGTCCGTCCTGCAGGCTATACTCGTCAGAGCACGCGTCGAGAGGGACTATCGTGATGATGTGTGGAGACACTGGTACACAGAGAGGCTGGACGAGGCTCTCATGGATGGAGACGTCTTGTGGCCTCCAAAGAGGGGATCAGCGAGGCGCAAGTGAGGGATCGAAGCGTCGTCGACGGGCCATCATATACATTGGTCGTTTTCTTTTGTTCAGCATCATTACTAGAGCTATTGCGGCTACTATTTAGACACTAATATGGTAATACTGATATAGAGCTGGGGGCTGTCGTTCGCCACAAGACAGATGGGAGTTGGAAGCAGGATTCAGAGGTTGACGCAGCTGATGGCACCTGAAAAGGGTGCTGTGGCAGGAACATGGGAGAGGATACAGTGTAGTTACGATAGTAGCTTCAATGATCATACAGGTGGCGTAGTGTCGTGATGATACTAGCACGGTGTTTATAAGAACGGTATGGGCGTCAGGACACACTGACGGTTATCGTCAGCGGCAGTGTGCCCACCTTTCTATGTGGCGATGTCGCTGGACGCTGATGATATAGTTTGTGCCAGAGCAGCCACCACGCACACAGCTGTTCGTTGTCCGCTTATATTTCTGGAATCATATCTTTGCATTCACTCCAGGCACTCATTCAGCCATGTGAATTTTCAAGTTCACCTCAGCAATGCGAGGGTACAGCGAGTTGTTCGCGGGAGGGTCGCACTCGGAAGGGCCAATATCGGATGTTTGGGTAGGAATCTGGATAACGATGGGAATCACTTACCAAAATGGCAACAAGATCGAGGCTATGGCGCTCATCACGGTCAACGAGACCGAAGGGTAGATTGTGCGATGGGCTGCAGAAGATGAGGGGGTAGAAGATGCTGCTGAGGGTGTCGGGGGCCTCACGAGTGTCAGGTCAGCGAGCACTCAGTGGATGTTCCAGCGCTTCTCCCCTATAATTTGGCCCCACACTCACTAAGATGCCCATCGTCTTCTGTCGGCCATGCTGCCTCGCGCTTCAACCCTCTTGCTCGCTGTCACGATACTTCATTCACCCTCTCAAGTCATCAGACCGCGCCTTGCCAACGCATCTCACCGGCCACGACGTCTAACCGTCTTCACCATGCGATTCAAGACGGAGCTGAAAAATATTCGCACCTTTTCGAGTATGTTTGCTTCCCACTTCTGATCACAACCAAACTAACCTCTCAGAACTGACTGCCGCCCTCAACTCCCTCGAGAAGATCGCATGGGTGCGCCTCGACGATGACACGGCACGCTTCACCGTCATCCCGGATACGGGGTCTCAAGTCTGGGCGTGAGCATACGAAAAAACGTTTCCAACGGATGACTGCAGGCAGCTGACAGTCGACAGCTCCCTCTCCATGGACTTCATGTTTGAGAACTACCACATCCAGTCTGCCGAAGCCAACAACACGATCAACCTAGAGCTGCCCCTGCAGCCCCTCCAGCGGGCCCTCAAGTCCGCCCTCAATAGCACATCCGCCTCTCTTCGCCTGACCAAGAAAGAAGGTGTCCCCGTTCTGTCCATGACCATCACGACGACGACGGACGCTTCAGCGCCCTCAGCGGCCGCCGCCCACCGCGCCGCCTCTCTCGACGATGATCCCTTCGATGACGACCTGCCGCCAGAGCACCTCGAGACGTCGCTGCGGCGCGAGCGCGAGAAAATCATCACGCAAGACATACCCGTCCGCGTGCTCCATCCGGAAACCGTCGAGACGATCATGCAGCCCAAGGTCCGCGAGCCAGACGTCCACATCCAGCTGCCGCCGCTGCTCCAGCTCAAGGCCATCTCCGACCGCTTCACCAAGCTCGCCCTCGCATCGGGCCCCGCCGCGTCGCGTGCCGGCGGGCCCAAGCTCGAGCTCAGCGCCAACATGCACGGCGCCCTGCGGCTGCGCATCGCCTCCGAGGCCGTCGACATTTCGAGCACCTGGACCGGGCTCGAGAACCCGCAGCTCGACCCGGCCCAGATCCAGGGCCCCATCGAGGAGCACCCGAGCGCGCGGTTCCGGGAGGCGGGGCCCGACAAGTGGGCGACGGTGCGTGTCGACGGTAAAGACTGGAGTAGGGTGCTCAGTGTTGGGCGGCTCGAGGGGCGCGTCATTGCGTGTTTTGCCGATGACCATGCGCTCATTCTCTATGTGTACGTGCCGCAGTATGACGACTCGGGCGCGGATGATTCTGTTGTCACGGTATGTGCTCGCCTTTCTTACCTGAAGTGCCAATTCCAAGCTGACATGAAGCAGTATTATGTTACTTCCTACAGTTTGTAGACACGTCACGGTCACTTTGGAGCGGGCGTTTGATTGGTCATGAGAAAGGTCAAAAAGAGGGAATGGGATGGCGTTGGGTGGGTGCCCGAGGCCTGGGTATATTGAATCTTGCTTCATCTTGCTTCCTGTAGAATCGAGCCAGCATTTGGACCATAAGCTGCTGTTCGTGACGATCATCCGAAAAGACCTTCTCACTGATCCCGCGCTTTCGAGCTTTGCTGATGCTCTCGTGGTCGTTGCCGGTGGTGCTCGCGACTCCTGCTCCTGCTCCTCCTCTGGTGGTCTCGCCTCTCCCGCTGCCTGTCTCGACCGCCGTCGCGGCTGCGGCTGCGATCTCTGTCTCGTCTGTGTCGCCGAGAAGGATCCTCATCTCGATCGCCGTCACGGTGTCGCCGCCTTTCGCGATCAGGGCTGCGACTCCTCCGCCTCTCATCCGTCCGTCGTGGCCTCTCGTGCCGCCTCTCGTCATCCCTGTGCCTGTGACGCCCGTCGCGTTCCCGATCGCGGCTCCGACTGCGATGTCTCCGCCTTTCCCTCCTCTCATCGTGGTCCCTGTGCCTCCTCTCGCGCCCCTCCCTGCGATCCTCCTTCCCCTGCAGGCCCGCCCTCACAGGCGCAGCCGCCGCAGCCCCCTCAGGCGGCCCCGCGGCACCAATCCTGCGCGACGGGCCGACCTCGACGGCGTTGGCGCCGCTGGTGTCCCGCTGGGCGACGGGCAGGCCCAGGGCGCGGGCGAGGGCATCCTCCTCGGCATCCTTGATCTTGCGCAGCTCCTCCCTGCGCAGGCGCTCGCTCTTCTCCTGGTCCGTCTCGGCGGGGTCGGCGTTGGGGTCGTTGTCGCCGTCGGCCTTGGCGTACCAGTTGAGGTCGCGGCCCTTTTGCCAGCGGCCGACGGGGGCCTTGAGGCTGTGGCCGAGGTAGTTCTCGCGGTGGGTGGATGTCGAGACGTCGTCCCAGCTAAAGTTGACGCCGCCGCGGGAGCCGGATTTGCGGACTGTCGAGAGGAGATCCATGATGGCCGCGGTTGCTCGACTCAGGGCGTAATGGAGGTGATCTAGGGGGGGGGGTGGTGATGGTGATGATGGGAGGAGGTTTTGTTGGCGACGGATAGCCAAGGCGGCATGGAAGAGTGGTGGTGCACAGACCAGTACAAGGCTCACCGGCGACCTGCCGCTAGTGCAACCTTAAACGCATCCTCCTCCTGCACTGTCCGTCTTTGATCATCGCCAACTGCATCCCCCCGCTCACAATCTCGACTCGGCCTCAATCCAGCCTGTCAATTGGCATTGATCCGATTTGCTCTGCACCGAGTATCTGCTCGCAGCTACCCAGACGACAAACGAGACATCGCCATGGCCACTGCCAAAGACCCGCCTCTCGACGAGGTGCAATGGCGCGCGCCGCCCATCGCCCACCACCTCCAGGGCATCCACTCCAACTCAGTCCTCTTCTACTTTGCCGAGTCGCCCTTCTTCGACCAATCCTCTAACAATGGCATCTACGTCCATCAGGCTGCCTTCAATCCGCAGATGCAGGCCAAGATGTTCACCCGTGAGCAGTTCGAAGCCGTCCTGAGCCAGATGCCCAACGGCGTTGAGTTTCGTGTTGCCCACGCACCCGCCGACATGGTGACCGGCACTGGCGTCTGGGTCATCGTCAAGCAAGAGCGTGAGAGGGGCAAGGGTGTCACGCCGATAGCTCACTACTTCCTTGTCGGCGAGAACATTTACCAAGCGCCCACCTTTGGGGATATCATGAACTCGAAGATTGTACGACTCCCTAGAGGAAACTGAAGCACCTGGGTACTGACATCGTCTTCCCAGGAATCCATCTCAGAGTCCCTGAGCAAGATTCTGCCCGCCGTCGATAGCGTCCGCGACTGGACGCCGTCACTCGGCAACGCCTACACACAGCCAGCGCCCACCGACCTGGCACGCACGCAACCAGGAGCTCCCTCGAAAGAGGGCACGCCGGCGCCAGAGAATACCGCACCCACGACCAAGACCACTTCGCCCTTTGCCAACAAGACGACAAAGAGCGCCCTCGACCGCCTCGCCGAGGAGTCCTTCGCCATCCACCTGCGCCACGGCGGCGACTACATCGACCAGAACCCCATCACCGGTCGCCCCGGCGAGTTCCACCTCTCATCAACCGGTCGCAAGGAGAAGGCGGCACCTCTGCAGCCCCCGGCGCCGACGGCCACACCACAGCAGCCCGTCAAGCCCCCGGCTCTCAACACGAAGCAGGCTGACGAGGTCAAGAAGGAGGGCAAGGTTGAGCGCAGTCCCAAGACGCCCGGTGTACCAAAGCCGAAGAGGAAAAAGAGCAAGATTGTGTCAGGTGGCGCTACCGGCGGTACCAACACGGCGGCGACGACACCGGCGGCTTCTTGAGAGTGAACGGACGGTTGGTTCTAGACATGGTCGTGCCTTTTTGCTTTCGATGATACCCCCGTCTTTGTGTCACACATTACTATCAGTAGGTACATATGACAAGCACATGTTTACTCAAGCCAGTCGTTGACTGCAAAAGTCCTCCGCTGCTGCAGCCTGCATCTGCACACTGCACAGATGGCGACTCCCATACGTACTGCGCCTATACTCGATTGAGGGGCAGTGCTCTTGACACTTATCTCTCTTGTCAGCGCCTGACTGGCTGGTTGGTCGGTCCGCGCACATGCATTGGCTCCCTCTACACGATCAGGCTGCGGCCTTTAGTTGCTGCCTGACTGAAACAATCATTCTCCCACTTTCCACCGCTCGCAGCCTTGCGCAAAACAAAAACTCTGTCACCCAGTTTGTGGCATTATGGACCCCTTGTCTGCCGCTGGGTTCGCCTCCTCTCTGATCACCTTCATCGACTTCTCCTACAAGCTGATATACGGCTCTGTCGATCTCTACAAGTCAGCTGCTGGGGCCACGGATGACAACATCCGGATCAGCAGCATTGTCGAGGATCTGAAGAAGATCACCGAGACGATCTCAACGCCCGTTCCTCCTGGAGATAATGGGCCGCACACGCGGGAGCTCAGCAGATTGGCCCTTGAGTGCCACGGGGTCTCCAAGGAACTCACAGACATACTCGACAAGTTGAAGAGGCGGGAAGGGAATAAAGCATGGCGCAGCCTCGAAGCGGCATGGAAGAGCATGCGCAAGTCGGACAAAGTGGCAGCGCTTGAAAACCAATTGGCCACGTATCGCATGCAGCTCCTTCTGCGCCTCGGTATCATCCTCGCGTGAGACAGTCCGCTCCCGCTTGAACGCTTGCCACGTTTGCTAACAGACTGATTAGTGAAAATCAGACCTCAGTCGAGAAGCAGCTGAGCGAACTGCAGAGAGGGAACACGGATCACTTTGCTCAGACGATCACCCAGCTTGGCAATGTTCGTCAGGCGATCGAGACCCTAGATAAAAGGGTCATGGACGAGGCTGGCCATGCACTTCATACGTTGCCTGACATGAACCCCTCCCACGGTGCTTTGGACGAAATCCGCGCCGAACTGTCGTCGATCGTCCAAACTCTCCAGGCCGTTGCTGCGAGCACGCCGGCGGACTTGCATGTGCTGAACCGGCTGTATTTCGAGAGCCTGCATGCTCGCGAAGACGATGTCAGGGATGCAGAATTCAATACCTTTGCCTGGCTTCTCCATGAGGAAGGAGGCGACGAAGAAAGCAGCGAGGAAAGCGACGAAGAGAGCATTGACTCCTATTACAGCAGTAAAACTGTAGCATCTACCGGTGGGAGCAATCATGACACTGGAGACGATGCCGACAGCCCGACTCACACCGCTGTGGCAAACGACGAAGCCGGCATCGACGATGATGATATCGAGGACCCCGATCACGGCGAAGACACGGCTGGTAGTGAAGACAACGAAGATGCCGATGACTTTGCGAGCGTTCACTCCTCCATGAGTGATACTCATGTGTCATGCCTCAAGGTTAGACGAAGGCTTCGGAAAACTTTCAAAAAATGGCTTCGACTAGAGAATGGAGTATTCCACATCTTTGGGAAGGCCGGCTCCGGCAAGTCAACCTTGATGAAGCGTACCTGTCAGGACCAAGTTTTGAGGAACGAACTCAGCGTCTGGGCTGCCGATAGGAAGCTCGTCTTGGGCAGTTTCTTCTTCTGGCTCTCTGACAATGACTCACAATGCTCCCTCGAGGGGTTGTATCGGTCGCTGCTCTTTGAAGCTTTGCGTCAATGTCCAGAGCTTACGAGGACCGCCTTCCCGCAATTTTGGACAGTGGCCAATGAAGCAAACTTCGAAACAAGTGCGTGGACGCAATCGCCTTTTCGACTTTCGGAACTCTGTCAAGCATTGCAAAATCTGATTGAACAACAATCTGGAGCAAGGACCCATCGTTTCTGCTTCTTCATCGACGGCCTGGACGAGTTTAAGGGCGACATTTCTGACCACAGGAAGTTGGCGCGGCAACTTCGAGCATGGGGCAGTTCACCTGATGTCAAGATCTGTGTAAGTAGTCGACCCGACCAGGCGTTCCTCGACGTATTCGACAGTAAGATGAGAATCAACATTGTCGACGCAACGAAGCTCGACATTTACCGCTTCGTCAAAGGGACGCTCGCTGAGCAGCCAGCCACTTATTTAAGCCCGCACATCTTGCATGAAATTGCAATGCAAATATGGGACCGTGCCGATGGTGTGTTCCTGTGGGCACGGTTGGTTGTCCGTTCAGTAACGGAAGGCATCCTGTATCGCTCAAGCCACAGAGCGCTCATGGACAAAGTTGAACAGACGCCAAAAGGTCTCGGTGCACTTTTCGGACAGATGTTCGACAGCATTGATTCATCTGACCGGGAGAGGTCAGACAGGATGCTCTTGTTCGCCAGCAGACAGGGTCGCGGGCACTTTCTGCTGTACTCGTGGCTTGATGATCTTGCGGACCCGGGGTTCCCATTCGAGGGGCCGATTCGTGGGCTGCCAATGGAAGAATATCTTGAGCGCAAGTCTACCCTTGCTGCTCAGCTGAAACTACTGAGCAAGGGCCTGCTCGAGATTTCAGAAGGCAGCGGCATCGTTGATTTCTTCCATCGATCGGTTTTGGATTTCCTTCGGCAACCAGATATCGAGTCTGAGATGAAAGACCGTCTTCAGGATCCACTTGACATAGCAGCCGATTGGCAGCGACTCCAACTTGCCCTCGCAAAGTTTCATCTTCGTGCCTCAGACCCGACACGAAATGACTGTTTGGTACAGCATCTTTACATGTTGTTCCAGTCTGAAAAGAAGTGGGGCGCGCCTTCTACAAAGGTGTTGAGAGAGTACCACGCCTTCGTTGACAATTTCCAAGAGAAGGTCTACATTTCCGTTTGGCACGTCAGCCCAACATATAGCGGTTGTCTGCTAGTGCCAGGTCGCAACTTCTCGTTTCTACATTTTCTCGCATATTACTCCCAATCGCAGTACGTCATAGACTGGGTCGAGAAAAGCCCCAGTGGCCAACTGGATAGAGAGGATCTATGTCTGCTCTTCTCAGCCTGTATAGGTGGACGCAGCCAAGCTTCCTTCGTCGAACGTCTTTCCTTCATCGAACGTCTTTCCTTCATCGAACGTCTTTTGGGGGCCGGGGCTTCCTTCGCTGACGGCGTACGTCTCATGTCTGAAACTAGACAAGATACCAACATCCCAGGTTGGGCGGCGTTCCTCTCCATACTTTTCATGGACAGTATGCGGACGCTCCTGCGTGGCGAAAAAACGAACCCGCCCGGATTCTTGTTTCTTGTGCTGGAGAAGGTCCTGTTCTTGCAACCCGAGCTCAACGTTCAATTCGAATACGAGCTGCAGGCCGGTAGTTATCCGGTTACAAGGCCAGTATGCCGAAGCCAAGCAACAATGTCACTGGAAGAGCTCGTCGTCATTTTCAAGCCCCCTAATATGGATGTGCTCTTGCGCGAGATTCTTCGGCGAAAGGGGTGGAATGTTTGGGGCATGGTGAAGAAGCTGGGGTCGCGGGTAGCTCCATCGACAGACTTCAAAACAGAATCCGCGGGTCGGATCGAGGGCATGACACAATCTGAACTGGAAGACTGCGGCTTTGGTCTCACAAAAATTTCAGTAGGTGCTGGATCTTCATGGGATTTCGATACGCACCGCCGCCTTGGTTTTCGAGTCTACTGAGAAGATTATCGTCAAGATTTCAAGCACCAGGTGTATTCACCAATGTAAGATGCCAAAAGATGATCTGTCTAAGCAAACACACTTCCATAGTCAAGCAACCTGGTCCTCCTTGACGAAGGAGATGGCGACTGGCCGCTCAGTGCCTGAAACGGCTTAATTGGTGACCTAGTCGACCTGGATCTCTTCCCAGCATCCATGACAAAGCCCACGTGTGGGTAAAGTGATATGATCTTGACTTGGGTGAGATGAGGCGTTGCTGAGTGGGTTGAGGCAACATTCCGACTGATAACACTTTAGGTCTATGGAAATCGACGAAGGGATCCTCGAACGCCGTAACATCTGAGGAATCCCGAAGGATGCTACATACACCAGGTCTGTCTTGCAGAAGATACCTCTTTTTGTCGGTCATCGTAAGCAAGTTCATCCACTGTAATTAACAAGAAGGGGCAACGACATCACGTTGTTTTCACAGCTCAATACTGCTAGACGACTCGCCTTCATTTCATGATGATCATATTCCACACAATCATGGAGAAGCCAATCCCTTTAAACCCGAAATTGATCTCAGGTATACAAGAATACGTACTAGATGGACCCAGCTAACGTGGCAGAAATGAGCCAGATAGCTAACCAAATCGTAGACCTACCCTATAGTACGTTAATAATAAGCTGTGATACCTATGATATCAGGCCTCCTGGGGTATATAGTGAGGATCTTAGGTGGATTACGTTACAATGAGGTAGGGTCCTAGGTCCTGCGTAAGGTGGCAAAGGTAGCGGCGCTAAGCCTGATCATGAAGGCGGTATACGGCTTATAGGGCGCTTGTTGTACCTGAGATCAATTTCGGATTCAAAGGATAGAGACTCCATATAGCACCGGAGTTTATAGACATAATTCGCATGTAACAGCCCGCTTAGATGACGGAAATGTACCCAACCCAGCCTCAACGCAGCCATATGCATCGCACCCTACTGCACCACCCAGCCTTTGCCAACCTCCCGCTTCTCAATCACCTTCTTCATCGGCAGAGGCCAGCCGCTGCCCCCGACGCCCTCGGCCCTGAGGTACGGCACGACCCAGACCTCCCTCTCCATGGCCGTGGCCCTGACCTCCTTGACCGGCTTGCCGTACGTCAGCAGCGGCGTGCCCTTGGCCAGCCCGGCGAGCTGGCCGCCCGTCACATCCGTAAGGGCATGCATCCGCGTCTTGGGCGTCTTGGTCGGGTCGACCCCCTGCGTCGCGCGCTGCAGGTACGCGTAGACGACGTACTCGGGCAGCTCCTGGGGGCTCATGTGCGCCAGGGGCGAGGACGGGTGGAGGTAGACAAACTTGTCAACGTCGGCGCCGACGCCAAGCGGCACGAGCGGCAGGTACGGCACGTCGATGGCGCGGCGGGGCTTGCGCGCGTTCTCCGGCGGCGTGGGCGACTTGTCGGCGCGGATGGCCACCTGGTCGATGAAGCCGGCGGCCACCATCTGCTTGAGGTAGGCGACCTGCCTGTCCGTGGGGCGGTCGAGGCGGTCCTGGAACCGCAGGTTCTGGAACGACGGCACGTTGGTGCGCAGCAGCTCGACAATCTGCTGGCGCAGCTGCTGGATCTCCTTGAGCACCTTGTACCGCACAAAGTGGCTCTCGCACCACGCCTCGGTCGGCTCGTGCGCGTACTCGCCGACCACCTGCAGCAGCTTGATGGCGTCCGACTTGTCGTCGAGCGAGCAAAAGTTTCGCTGCACGCCGTTGAACGCGCGCCGGATCGTGGCCTGGCGGTCCTCGGCCGCGACGACGGCGTTGGTGCGCAGCACGTGGTCTTCTGTTGCCTCGAGTGAGGGGATCGCCTGGTTCTCGGGGATGAAGACCTCGGCCGCCGACAGCGCTGCCACGAGCGCGATGGTGTACTGGAGACAGTCGTGCTGGTGGCCGACGAGGAGGATGCGGGCGAAGCGCGGCGATAGCGGGAAGATGGACATGGTCGAGCCGATGCGCGTCACCTGGCCCTCGGCAGAGATGGCTGACAGGTAGTGGAGGAGCCTCTCTGCCTTGCGGAGGCTTGCTCGGTCAGGGGGCGTCGGGAAGGGAAAGTTGACTACGTTGGAGAGGTTCATGGACTTGAGCTGCAGCACGACGCCATCAATGGGCATGCGCAAGAGCTCAGGCTCGGAGAACTGAGGCAAATCCCTCTCATACACTGCCGACGAGTACAGGCGGTAGCAGTGACCGGGGCCCGTACGACCAGCACGACCAGATCGCTGGTTGGCGCTGGCTTTGCTGACCCATCCGATGGCGTACGTCTGGACACCGCTGACCTCGTCGTACTGGCGTTCCTTGGACCGGCCACAATCGAAGACGTATCTCGTTCCGGGGATCGTAAGACTCGTCTCCGCAACGTTGGTTGCGAGAATGACCTGTCGCGTGCCCTCTGGCGGCTCCTTAAAGACACGCATCTGTTCGCGCGTTGGCAGGAGAGAGTAGAGTGGCAGCACCTGCATCTTCAAGGGGCCCGTCTCACCCTCCTCCTCAATCTTGAACTCTTCGTCTTCGTCCTCGTCGCCCTCGCCTTCTGAAATCTCATCGTCAAGCTCTCCAGCGTCAAAGTCGTCAACGTCACCAAATTCAATATCCTCAACCTCCATCGGCGCTTCGCTCGCGGAGATCTGCACCTTGGGGCCGCTCGCCGAGGTCAGACCGCCAAAAGCTGCCTCCAACCTCTTGCTGAGCTGCACGATCTCATTCTGGCCCGTCAAGAACACGAGGAAACCTCCAGGAGGCAGCTTCTTGTGACCCCGGCTGATCTTGTTGTACAGTTCATCAACGTAGTCGGGTCGTGTCCTGCGGGCGAAGTGGATTGTGACAGGGTGCTGTCTACCCTCGACCTCGACGACCGGCGGCGGCGTTGCGAATAGCTGGGAGTTTTGCGTCATGTCCTCGACCCTGAGGGTAGCCGACATGATGATGATCTTGAGAGGCTTCAGTGGCGATGAACCATTCTGGTCCTCCTGGCGGACGTTGTTGATGCGGCTGAGCATGCCAATGAGGATGTCCGTGTTGACGCTCCTTTCGTGCGCCTCATCGATGATGACGGCCGAGTACTTCTTCAACGAGAAATCCTGCGCAATCTCTCGGAGCAACACACCGTCCGTCATGAACTTGATGGCCGTCTTGGCGCTCGTCGTACCCTCGAAGCGAATCTGGTAGGCGACGCGCTCAGCGTGATCGCCCATCTCCTCGGCCACACGTTTTGACATGCTAACGGCGGCTACTCGACGCGGCTGCGTCACACCAATCATGCCCGACGTCGGGGAGTCGGGCGAGCCGTAGCCTGCTTCGTAGAGAAATTGAGGTACTTGCGTCGTCTTTCCCGAACCGGTGGAACCGCACACGACGATGATGTCGTGGTTGTGAATGGCCTCCATAATCCTCTGCTCCCTCGCCCACGACGGGAAGTTTGAGACGAGCTTCCTGAATCTCGGGCGTTCTTGTCACGGTCACGCCAAAGGCCTTGCGGGCGAGGTTGACCGAGGGCTGAAGCTCCTCTGGCAGCGGCTCGTGCTCGGCAGCGCGTGGGGTGAAATTGTCTGGCCGGGGAACGTCGAGTATTTGCGTCGACTCGCTCGCCGGCTTGAAGCCCAGAGCCTCGTTCCTCTGTGCCGGCGCCCATGCCTTGAAAGCCGAGGGTTTCGCCTCGGAGCTGCTGTCATCGCTGTCCATGTCGCTGTCGTCCTCATCGGAGGCGCTCTCGCCGTCTTCTTCTTCGTCATCATCTTCATCAGAGTCGTCCCCGGATCCAGACTCGGAAGCATCCTCTTCGGTGTCGGCAGAGCCAAGCTTGGCACCTCCCACGCCTTCGTCTTCGGAGCTGAAACCGCTCCATTCCTCCTCTAGGTCGCCCTTTGCTGGCTCGGCAATGGTGAACTTGGACTGGACACCTCCGCGCCGTTGACGCTTGCGCAGCACCGGCCTGCCTGCCTCGTCCAGATCGAGGGGCCTCTTCAGACCAGAGCCGGCAGCTGCCGCAGAAGGTTGGGGCGCACTGATTGCTGTGGGAGCCTCGGTGGGCGGTGAAGCGGGCTTTTGAGCCGGTATCGGTGCCGGCGCTGGTGCCGGCTCGTCATCCTCACTGTCCTCATCAGACGAAGAGTCCTGCTGCCGCGGCCTCTCGAACAAAAGCTCGTCGCCGTCCTCGTCCACTTCGACACCGGCCTTCCTCTCCCTCATGGCACGGCTGATGGCCTGCCTCTTCGTCTCCTTGCCCTGGCCGATGGTCTTGGAGCTGGTGAACAGGTTCGTGTCAATCTTGCTCTGCGACAGCTTGGCGAGGATCTCGCGGTTCTCGTCCTTGCGCAGCTTGTTCTCGATGTACTTGTCGAGACGCTTGGCCTTTTTGCCGCTGACCTTGACGTCGCCCTGCAGCTCCTTTTTCATGCGCTCCTTCTTCTCGCGCATGAGCCGCCTCTCCTCGGGGTCGATCTGCTCGGCGTTGGTGTCGGCGTCGAGCGGGGCGACGGCGTTCTCCTTGGCCTTTTCGCGGGCCAGCACCTTGTGCTTGCGCTGCCGCGGGACGAACTTGGCCATGTTGGCTTTTTGTGGGTGGTATGTGGTGGTGGATGGGGGTGTGGGCTCGGTTCGAGGTGAAGCCAGAGGAGGTGAGGATGCTCAGTAGTGTAGATTCTGCTGCTCCTTTGCTCTAACCTGATGCCGCTTCAATCAATGGTCCATGGAGAAAGGCAGCGGCGCGCATGCCCATTGAATTCTTGTGAATGCTGGGAGAGCTGCTTGGTCACGAAACACCATCCATCAGCAAGCAGCCTGGTGGAGCAGCAGCCTGGTGAAGCAGCAGCGACTGGAAATTTTTGGGCGAGAAACATTCTGCCAGGCATGACCGCCCTCTTATCCGTCCGAACAAGACTAGCGCGGCCTAATCAAGATGGCGGGGCCACAACCACTACGAAGCCCCCACCGACAGCTCCAGCACAGGCAGCAGCTCTCACTGAATAGTGCCGTCTGCTGCCATGCATTACACCCAAATCCAACAAGCTCACCATCCCTTCAACGCCACCATGGATACCAACGAAGAGGCTAGGGAACAGAGCTTCCCTGCGAAGACGAGAAAGGCCCTGGGCACCATCAATGGCGTCGTAACAGAGGCCAACTCGGTCTGGTTCTCCGACCGCATCATGATCACCATGTCTCAAGAGGGAAGGCTGTCCCAGTGGGTGCGTCTTCCTGCCAACCGCCGTCCTTTTACGCATGTGAAGAGAAAGCCAAGGACTCACAAATGCTAGGTCCACGTTCCGATCCTGCCCTCGCCAGCAGACATGGTCGACATGAACCTGTCCTCGAGCAGCAGGGGGATGCTGCCCTCCACGCACCTCACGGCCACGACGCTCCTCGGCGGCGGCGGCGACGAAAGGGAGACGCTGGGCCAGTTCTACGCCGCCCAGATTGCGCGGCTTATCAGTCTGCGAGACCCCGAGGACCGTCGCACCTTGGTGCTGGGCCTCGGCCTGCTGAAGGTCGACACGGCGCGAGAGGCCTTCTTCGACACGATGGACCTCATCAAGGAGGTGCTGTGAGCTGTCGCCAGACTTGCTGTCGAAAGAACACGACATGGTTCTTCGAATGCAGTGGGGGCTTCTGTTGCACGCCACGATGGAGGGTCTGCAACAACATTTTCGAGCAGCTCGTAACTCGTTCCTCATGCAATTCGACCATGATTGTACCGAAGGTCTGGATGTAACGGCAACGGCAACGAGAGCACGAGGCGGCGGCTGTTAGCGACTTGCAAGGCTGCATTCGGTGCCGCCTATCCATTGAGTTCAGCGCAGCGAATCGCCAGTCACTCGCAAATCCGGTCGGGTCGAGGGGTGGCTGCGTCGGATAAAGCATCCAGGCGTACAAAGGAGCTGCACGTCGCGAAACCCTCCTCTGCCCTTATCCGTCGGATCTCCCCCCAGTGTGCTGCGATCCACACGCCAGAGCTTCATCCCAACACTGCATCAATACCCCGAATTGCCGACGTCGCGTGGCCGATTGTGGGGATTGAGACAAGAGGAGCAGAAGGGAGGGGGGGAAACAGCTAGTTCCACGAGCGCCTTGTAGGACACCGCGGGCGAGGCAAAACGTCATGCGGAGAAGGCCACGAACGGCACCTCGGCAGCTGCTCTCTGCTGTTCAAACATGCTGCTCAACCTTCAATAGAACTTGTTCGCCGGCGCCCATTTCGCGTTTGCCACTTTCCATCTGTGCGCTTGCCATTTGCTCAATTGAATGAACAGGGCAGGATTTCGCCCGACCGTCCCAGTCACAGCCAGACACCGCCCAACATGGCCAACCTCAACGAGAACGGCATCCCGCCCTTCGAGAGCCTGCCCCTCGGCGAGAACGACCCGCCCTTCTCCGCCTGGGGCCTCTACGGCCAGAGCGACGAGCTCGGCACGCTCAACCGGTTGACAGACGAGCGGGTGGCGGCGGCGGCGCGGGACGAGATCCGGACGGGCGTTC